ACCCAGGAGGCTGAGGAAGGAGGGCTGCTCGAGCCTAAGGGTTTGAGGCCAGTGTGGGCAACACACTGAGATGCTGGCTTTAAGAGAGGGTAGAGGAGGCTAGTGGGACAGTTCAGTCAGAACAGTGCTCATCACACAAGTGTGAGGATCTGAGTTTGATTCTAGAACCCACATCAAAGTCTAAAGGCAGTGGCGCACACTTGTAACCCAGGTGCTGGGAAAGCAGAGACAGGCAACTCCCTGAGGTTCCCAGGCCAGCCAGTCTTGCCTAAGCAGTGAGCTCCAGGTTCAGGGAGAGATCCTGTCTCAGAAAACAACCCCCAAAGTGGACCTCTAGCTTCCACATGCATGGGCACTTACATGTGCACCCACATCCTGACACATGCATGTGTGCATGTTAACACTCACACAAATACATGTGTACACACACACACACACACACACACACACACACACACACACACAGGAAAAGAAGAGGATCAGAACAGAAAGCAAGGATGGCACTCGAAGACCTCAATGACACTGTCCCACATATCAAAGCCAGAGACCAAGCAGAGACAGATGCCAGGGCCATGACATCACAATGGCCAGAAAGCCAACCAGAGGAAGAAAGTGTGAGCTGTAGCACACACACAGCAGGGGACTGCTTTCAATGGCTATGGGGGAGGGGGAATTAAGAAAGAACACAGAACAGCCAAGTGTCCTGAGGGTTTGGTCACACGGAAGGCACTGTCTCCACTGGACAGGTGGGTCAGAGGCCACCTTCCAGGATGAGGAAGTGGCAATGGTGGTTAGGGAAGGGAACAGAGACATCCCAGACAGTGAGGAGTATTGTGGGATTGAGAGAGCTTTTATTTTGTTTTGGAAAACAGGGAAAGTCAGAACCACTGTGATGGGAAACTTATTCTACAGTCACTAAGGCAAAGGAGTAAGAAGTTGGCAGTGCCCAGGGCAAAGTACCATGGTGTGGGCATGTGCATCCCACTACAGATCCACCAGGCTTAAGGGCTCCAGGCACCTTTTCAGACACCCTGGGAGCTGGGTATTGGGGTGATGACTGAGAAGGATATGGCTGGGAGAGGGCAAGATGCATCCCCAAGGCAGCTTTTCAATGCAGGAAGTCCACAGGAAGATAGGGAACAGTGGAGTTAGGAGGCTGAGTGCCGCCAGACTGGCAGGGGCCAGCCAAGTTGAGTTTGAAGTCACTAGAGGTTTGTTTTTTTTAAGTGAGAGAATTGCCTTACAAAGGATTTTCTGCTTTGAAGAAGAGAATATCCCATGAGCCCAAGGTTCTGAACTAGGAGAGTGAGGGGAACGGGGTGGGGATGGGGTTGGGGTTGGGGGTGAGGGAAGAATATAACACTCAGGAGTCACTGTGTGGTATCAACTGAACAAAATCACTGTGAGGTGTAGAGGGCAGAGGAGGACTGAGCTCTGTGGGCTGTTAGCTGAATGATAGAGGAAAGAAAGTGAGTAGAGAGGCGGGTGGTGGTCAGTTTTAGAAGAAGATAGTCCGTGTTCTGAATTTAAAAGAACTGAAACCGTATACATTATGTTTCTCAGATCTAGGCAAATTAAATACTAATAGCAGGAAGATATCTAGGAAACCCTAAATATTTAGATATTAAACATTCCATTTCTAAGTACCCACAAGTGAAAGGCATAGTCTGAAGAGACATTAGAAAAGATATTTTGAGATATCTTGTGACAAGTGCAAATGCAACACTATAAAATTTGTAGCTGTGATGGCTACTTTTGGCTGTCAGCCTGACAGCATCTGGAACCAACTAAAACCGAAGCTGCTGGACACTCTGTGAGAGATTTTCTTAATCCGATTATTTGAAGCAGGAAGACCTAACCTATATCCAGAACATAGCTTCTGGTGTCAGCCTACATAAAAGGACATGGAAGAAGGAAGTTTCTTTTTACCTGCTTGCTTTCACTCTTGCTGGCAAGTTCATCTATCATGTTGTCAGGTGCGCTGTCTAGTCAACATCATACAAGCTAGAGTCATTTGGGAGAAGGGAACCTCATTTGAGAAAAATGTTCTCACCCGATTGGCCTGTGGGCAGGCCTGTGGTGCACTTTCTTGATTGGTGATTGATGTGGGAGGGGGCCTAGCTCCTTGTGGGTGGAGCCATCCCTGGGCTGATGGTCGGGTGCTCTAAGAAAGCAGACTGAGCAAACAGAGAGGAAGGGGCAAGCCAATAAGCATCACTCCTCCATGGCCTCTGCTTTAGTTCCTGCATCTAGGGTTCTGCCCCGAGTTCTTTCTCCTACTTCCCTCAGTGACGGAGTGACCTGAGAGTTGTAAGGTGGAACAAACCCTCTCCTTCCCTAGCTGCTTTTGGCCGTGGTGTTTATCACAGCAATAGGAATCCTAACTATTTGTAGGATTCCTACAAATCCCAACTTCACCAATGTTTAAACCACCATCTTCAGGATCCCAGTGTAGACAGAAGACCAGCAGCTGTCTAAGAATCCTCCAGACCTTCAGAACAGGACTGCTAAGATATCCAGCAGCCTCCTGATGGAGACACTACTGGATTCTCAATTGCTCCAGTGTGAGACAGCCCTTGTTGGGGTACCTGGACTGCATTCTGTAAATCAATCTAATAAATTCCCTTTATATATACGGGTTGCTAGATCTAGCCACTCTAGAGGAAAATTTACAGCATTAAATGATATATTAGAAAAGAATAAACATCTCAAATCCATAATCAAGATTTTTACTTTGAGATTGGAGGACATAAAGCAAATCAGAATCCAAGGCAAGCAGAAGGAGACAGAAATAATGGAAGCAGAAAACAAAACCAAGTCGGAACTAGAAGCTGCTGCTTTGAAAAGATCAGTGACCGGCTGCCAGGCAAAGGTGACACAGATAACCAGTGTGTACGGGGGAGGTATTTCTACAGACCACACAAACTCAGCACGTGGCTCAAACACCTAGCCGGTCAGGGAGTGCTGCGGACAAGTCAAAAGTATCCACCGTCTTTGACAATATCATACTTGCTATGGTGAGAACCACCCAGCAGGGAGGACCAGAAGGACCACACAGCCACCAAAGGAGTGAGAACACAGACACCTATTTTAATAAAGCTGTGAGGCGGGATACAGCATGGTGAGGAGGAACGGCAGGGAAAGGGGGCAGTGTTTTGGAGGAAGAATCATGTGTACCTGTTCAAGTGGAGAGGAAGGGCCCAGTAAGGGAAGTCAAGGATTTAGGAGAAGTGAAGGCATCTGGTGCCGGAGGCAGCAGGACCTCGTGGATGGCAACAGCGGAACAGCCCACCCTGCCCAAGGCGGACTCTGAGCCACACGGGAGGATGGTGAGGACAAGAGGAGGCCAGACTAGCATTGGTTTCTCCGTCATCTGTCACTTAAGAATTTCGAATTGCTGGAGAAACGGGAAGCTCGCAGAGAACTAAGATTCTAGAACAGGATGTGGCCTCTAAGTAGCTCACAACGTGAATGGCTGAGCACCTGGAGGAGACTTAGCATGTGCAGGGCTCTGCCAACTTCTGCCAGGGCTAGAGAGTAAACATTTCAGGCTCTGAAGGCCGAAAGGCCCACCAAAGACATACTGTGGACACAGCTGTGGCGAGAAAATGCTAAACCCACTGGGAGTAAATTGATCCTGTTAGGCCATCTGCGGTTTGTGTAAAGACACAAAAGGCTTCCGGTGAGAAAGGGAGGTTTGTCATGGGCCCAGGTGGCAGGTAGAAGTGGTGGGAAACCCAGGCAGCTTCTCTTTTGTCCCAGTGCCCCCTCCCCCCTTAATCCCTGGGGTACTTTCCTTCTGAGAGCTTGATCCTTCCAATTCAGAGAGCTTGCTAGAGGCTAAACCATGCCAGGGCTGAGTGCCTAGTCACTGCAACCCTTCCAGATGCTCTAGCTATGGGTACAGGCCAGAGAGCAGCGCTGGGAGATGAGAATGAGGAGAGTGAGGATCAGATGCCCCGGTTTGGTCTCTAGTTCATGAACTAACTTTTCATCGGTGCTTCAGCTTTCCAAAAGCAAGTGGTGGGGCTGGAGAGACGGCTCAGAGGTTAAGAGCACTGGCTATTCTTGCAGAGGTCCTGAGTTCAATTCCCAGCAACCACAGGGTGGCTCACAACCATCTGTAATGAGATCTGACTCTCTCTTCCGGCATGCAGGCAGAACATATACATAATAAATAAATCTTAAAAAAATAAAAAAGTGGCAGGCCAGAGTTGAATCCCAGGCTGAAGGTCACTGGCGCCACTCTTGTGCCCCTAAAAACCTCAAGGAGAGGCTTAAATGAGACTTCAGACAAGAAGACTGCACAGACCACTGTAACGAAAATGCAGGTTAATTGTTCAGCCCGGTGCTTCCTTTAATATTCATTATATTCATGTATTCACTCATTCAGATTCTTTTTTCCTGAGACAGGGTTTCTCTGTGTAGCTTTGGAGCCTGTCCTAGAATTCGCTCTATAGACCAGGCTGGCCTCAAACTCATAGAGATCCGCCTGCCTCTGCCCCTCGAGTGCTGGGATTAAAGGCATGTGCCACGATCGCCTGGCCTCATTCACGATTTTTATTTTGAGACAAGGCCCTGCTACATCGCCCATGCTAGCTTCAAACTCGGAGTTCTCCAGCCTTAACCTCCCAAGCAGCTGACGTTTCAGGCATGCGTCACTGCAACTGGCTTTCACATTATTTTAAAGGAGGTTGAGTAACACTTCACAGGGCCCCCTCCTTCCTTCAAGCTCTCTACCCGTGGTAGTGAACGTAAACACTGCTTTCCCAGAGCCTTGGCCTGAGTCATCCAAGTTTCACTTCTGGAAATAGAAAGCTATCCATTTCTAGGTTGCTTAAATTACATGGCTTTCCTGAAAACTCATTCTTCTTTTGACCTTAGAGCTGAGAATTGTAAGTGGAGGGGACATGACTTGTCAGCCGACACATATCAACACGAGAGACGAGGAGGGAGCAAGGAGGATCGTCATGACAACGTCCGTGACTGGCGGAACTTACCCTGGTAAATCCTGACGTCTTCCTCAGTGACATAGGCATTCGCTCCCCAGATCACCATCTTGCGGACGTAAGATGGGTACTTCGCAGCAGCAACGAGTGCAGTTATGCCCCCATCACTCCAGCCCAGGAGGGAGACCTGCTTGAACTGCAGCACCTGTGGGCAACACAGCAGAAGGCTTGGCATTGTTAGTGTGGCCAACACAGCAGGACACACGACACAGTTACCACTCCACTCTCTTTAAAGAACCTGGGCGGTGGCGATCCGAGTCCTACAAGTCTGCTGCTTGGAGACCTGGTGTCAATTAGCCTTGCCACAATGTAGTTGTCATAAAAACTTGAGTATGCAGTATTATTTTGACCTATGCAGGAAGCATATCTTTGGGTCGAATAAAATGTCAAAGTACAGAATCAGCAGAAATCCTTTGGTCTTTGGGTAGGGCAAGCACTGTGTGTGCATACCTCTGAGCAAGGCTCCGAGGCAATTCTGTAGATTGGAGAGGAGTGCAAGATAAAATGCAGCAGGGTATCTAGGGAAGCCACAGCTGCGACTGTGGGAGGAGCTGGCTAGAGACGAGAGGGAGCATGGAGTCGTGGCAAAGCTGTGTCCGTACTTGGGTGACGCCATCAGGCCCCTGAAAATGTGCTCAGTAGAGAAAGCTGACAAAGCACATGGAAGAGGCTTCTACAAGTAAAAAAGTATCTGAAAAGATTAAAGGTAAGGAACCAACATGTTAGTCAGGATAATTGCTGGTGGGATCGCATGTGTGTGCACATACTCTGGATAATCATTAATATACAGAACGAGGATACATTCTCTATGGCCTAGCATACTACCTCCTGGATTCATTTACCAGGAGACAGACCCAGGATATACACAACACTGCTCATAATCACAAAAGTGACTAATGTCCCTGAGCAACTTCTAGCAAAAAGTAGCTTAAAATTAAGTTAATCATTTACCACTGGATAATGCATGGAATAAGACAGTGCATGCATCCAGTGAAATACAGCAGCTCTCTTGTACCTGCTGGGGTTACATTCCAAGACCCTACCTCACCACGGATGCCTTGTAACATAGATGGTACCCAAAGTTACACACGTACGTGCAGTATAGAGTGGATGTGCTGAAGAGACGATGTCTTACAGTTTGCGCAGAATGGAGACAGGATGGTTGGGCAGCACCACACTTCACTGTACCACTCAGAATGGCATGGGATTTAAAACTCACGACAGGGTGCTACAGATAACACTAATGAACTTGCATTTTAGAAAGACAGAGGAAATATTTTGGAAGTTTTTCTCATGAGGAAATGATAAATGTTGGGGACTCGGGGAGATAGTTCTGTTGGCAGCACAAGCATGAGGATTGGAGTTCTCTCCCAGGACCCCCAAGAGCCAGACACAGTGGCTCCCTGGAGCTTGTTGGCCAGCCAGCCTAACCTACTTGGTGACCTTCAGGCCAATGAATGATCTTGTTTTAGAAAACAAGGTAGAAAGCAACTGAGCAACCACAGTTGATGTGGCGGACATGTTTAACCTGATTTGAACATTATGCAGTATAGACATGCACTGGAACCTTATTTAACCCCCTGGCATATACATTTTTTATGTTTTAATGTATAAGCTAAAAATAAACTTAATTTAAATTATAAAACATTACAAATTATGAATTATTTCTGGAATTTTCTACTTTTTTTTTTCCGGGTCACAATTGACCACGGGTAACTGAAACCACAGAGAATGAGACCATGGAGAGGGGACAGTGGCAGCAGATGTACGTTCACTGGGGAGGAAGCAACATCTCCTTGATACATCATCAAAAGCAGCAAACTGGAAGACTGTAAGGTATGGTATGATGCCACAGTATCACACACCTGTAATTCTAGCACTCAGGAGGTAGAGGCTACCCTGCTACACAGTGAGTTTGAGGCTAGACCAGGGATACACAGCAAGATCCTGCCTCAAAAAAAAAAAAATCAAAATAACCGAATAAAACACTGTGTTTGCTTAAAAGCACTGACTCCTCACCTGGACCTACAAGGTAATTAGATAAAAGCTGGACTTCTCCATCTTTATTTTGTATGTTCTTTAACTTTGGGTTGGATTCCTGCTCAACTCTGCATGAAGGCATGCTAAGCACCCAAGGAGCATCTGTCTAAAGGCTGATGGTACATAACCAACATAAGCAGTCTTAACCCCTGTACTGGGTAGTTTGATGTCAACTTAATACAAAGCCAGAGTCCTTAGAGAGAAGGGAGCTTCAATTAAGAAAATGCCTCCAGAAGATCAGGCTGCAGGCAAACCTATAGAGCATTTTCTTAATTAGTGATTGATGGGGGAGGGCCCAGCCTATTGTGGGTGGGATGAACCCTAGACTGGTGGTCTCTAAGAAAGCAGATGGGTTCTGTAAGAAAGCAGGGTGAGCGAGCCATGAGGAGCAAGCCAGTAAGCAGCACTCCTCCATGGCCTCTGCCTCAGCTCCTGCCTCCACGTTCCTCCCCTGCTTGAGTTCCTGTCCTGGCTTCCTTTGATAATGCACTGTGATGTGGAAGCATAAGCTGAATTAACCCTTTCCTTCCCACATTGCTTCGGTCATGGTGTTTCATCACAGCATTGGTGACCCTAACTAAAACAACCCCCTTCAAGGCTGAAGGCATAAACATAAGAGCAGTGGTGACATCTTACTGTTGCCTTTTATAGTGTCCTGTTCCAGACCCACATTGTCCTAAACCTGAAGTCAGCTTGGATTCCAGGAACGGCAGAGCCTAACAGACAGAGCCTTACAGACAGATCACCCTGTGAGATGACACTCATGCGCGGTCATGACTTCTTCAGGCCACCTTGCAGACGCAGGACTGAGATGACACCGGACCACACTTTGACCAAGACCGTTTAGTTATGCAGACTCCTTTCCTTCTCTCCAGTTCTTGCTCTCCGTAAACCTAAAGCTCATGTCAGTACCCGGAGGATGGGCTGAAAGACTCTCCACCTCCTCCGAAGGGCAGTTTTGTTCAAAATGCATTCCTGCCTCTTCACCACCACCTCTTGCTGCTTTCTTCGGGATGAGTGCCTACTCCTGGTACACGGGAAGCCGTGGAGTTGGGCCTCTGTCTTCAGACTCCAGTTACTTCAATATAAAACTGTATTTTGCTGTGTGTAGTGTTGTAGTCCTGCAATCCTAGTACGCCACAGTCCCAAACAGAAGAATCTCATGGTCTGCTTAGACTATACAAGAAAAAAATGAAGTAACACAAAGCAAAACTAAAACCTGATGTATGCCATGAGACTAGCCAGAAAGGCAGAGCCTGGGCGTCTTGCATGTACCTCATTAGACAGCTGGGCTCTGTTTCTACTGGCCCTTTAGATCTTCCTTACATAAGACTTACATTAGGTATTACCTTTGTAGAGAGAAGGAACAGCAGGGATTAGAATAAACGAAGGTGGGTCCAGTCACCCTCCCCCACTCCAGCACTTCTCTGGGTCTCACCTTCATCAAGTCAATAGCATCCTTTGCATCCCTTTCAAAAAAGTCCCGTGGGAAGTCTCGATCTGGGGGCCTGGACTGTCCATATCCTCGAGGGTCCCAGGCCACCACTGTGAAGCGCTTCTTATTCAGGCTCTGAAGCTGTGGTGCAAAGTCCGTGCTTCCACTTCCTAAAAACAGCCACAGGGTTACATTCTGAGTGTTCTCAGTCTAGCCAACACACCAGAGCAAAACGGAAGCAGTACTAATCTCAAAACACGGTTCTTGTTTCTCAGTTAGCCAGGGAGGTTGTCTTACAAGGGACGCCTGCGTCCACCCAGAGGTGGATTTCCATTCCTGATGGAGTTAGGCCCTGCCTCTGGTCTCCCCCTAGTGGTGATTTTGAGGAAGCAAGGCTCAGGACCAGTATTTTTGTGGCACTTTTGACAGCCTTTCTGTTAGTTCTTTCCTACCCACCCATTGAAAGAATTAACTAAACTATATGGAAATGAACTTTCATTTGATACTTTCTGGGTTTCCTCTCTCTCTTTTCTCTAAAGAAAGATGACTTAGAAATGATGGAGAGCCCAGTGGCATCCAGGTAGAAGTCTTATATTCCAGATATTTTATCTGCCATTAAGCTAATAAGAATGACTCCTAAGACTTTATTTTTTAGTTACAACCAAAACAGAGAAAAGTAAATTAAAGCACTGAAATGTGTGTGTTTAAGAAATCAAATCAAGCCGGGCGGTGGTGGCGCACGCCTTTAATCCCAGCACTCGGGAGGCAGAGCCAGGTGGATCTCTGTGAGTTCAAGGCCAGCCTGGGCTACCAAGTGAGTCCCAGGAAAGGCGCAAAGCTACACAGAGAAACCCTGTCTCGAAAAACCAAAAAAAAAAAAAAAAGAAAAAAAAAAAGAAATCAAATCATATTTTATCAAGCCAGCACAAAGGAATCTATGCCAAGAGCCTGTGGTGGCCCTGACTGGCAAGCCTCAGCTCACCGACCAGCCACTTGAAGTGTGCTATGCTCATATCCACCATGGGTGTGGAAGATCACTTGGTAGGAGCTCCATCCAGTGGCAGATGTATTTACTGTGCAGTTTGTTTTTTTTTCCTAAACACCCAAGTACTCAGGCCACATATAGACAGGAAACACACAGCTGAGCTCAAAAGCAGCTGGGTGGATTTTCAGCCCTTGTCTACGGCTCTCTCACAGGAGCTTCTTATATGTCCCTGATATAGAAGGAACTATCCTGAAGGAGGGGCAGGAATTAGGGCAGGATTAGAGGAGGGCAGACTAAAATAAGAGTTTCACAAACGAGGAAACATATGCATGCGAAGACTGGGACCAAGAGTACTAAAATCTTCAACAAGTGTTTGGAGAACATACGTGATTATCAGTACATGATGATCTGAGTGACCCATGGGTACTGGGGGACAAGGTAGGAAAGAGAATCCCACTGTTCCATTTTAAAGCTTTGGAATCATGCTAATATTTTACAGAAATGAAAAATTATACTAGGGTGGGTGCTTTGTGTAGTTAATGACTGTGGTGTTGAAATAATAATAAAATATAATGTGGTAAATTGTTTTTGCTGATGGTTTAACTGGATATCAGCTATTGGAGCAAATATCTCCTTGAACACAGAAGCTTAAGAAAAGGGCACTAAGTGTGTGTCCCAAGACTCTCAGTGGGACTGTATCAGCGAAGGCCTGGCAAGGAGGACCAAAAGTAGCTGAAAATGTTAGCATGTGACCTTGAGGAGAAAGAAGCACGTCACAATAAGTACATACTGAGATTATACAAATACCTAAACCCCGGATATGAGGTAAACTAACGAGTATAGCAGGTCATAAGCTTATTATCTTCATCATCTACTCTTTCTTTGGACCCCTGTTTCCTTGACCCCTGCAACCCTCCCAAATAGTAGGAAACCATTTTCACAGTGTGTTTAAATGTGGGAAGAATAAAAAATTAATGCAGTAGAAAGTTATTTACTTTTCCAAACCATTCAACTTTGAGTGAGGCAAGTATTCCTTAAAAGTTTTTAGTAAGCACTAACATAAACCATCGATGCTTGGCATCTAGCATCATGATGCATCACGGAGAATCTACGGCCTGCAGAAACAATGCATTAAAATCCACACGTACCCAACATCCCAGGAAGCAGGAGAACTGCATGCTCCCCTTCTCCTGTTCGCTGGTAATGCAGGTGCACGCCATTCACAGCCACCTTGGCAGAAGTCACTGAAGTGCTGGAAGAGAAAGAAGTCCCAAGAGGGAGACTTATTTGTCATGTCAAACTGTCATATTTAATATGCTGAAGTATCAGTTCTTGTGCACGAGTTAGCATTGGTACCCCACTCGGGGCATGCTGTACTGCCTTGATCTGTGCCAATCAAGGTTGTATCCTTATAACAGAGTACAAATCTGAACAGTGTCTTCCTGTTCTGACCCACTCAGCACCCAGGGGCTTGCCTTCTGCCCTGGTTAGATTTGCGTGTGTGTGTGTGTGTGTGTGTGTGTGTGTGTGTGTGTGTGTGTGTGTATGTATGATGTATGTGTTAACTTGACACAAGCCAGAAGGAATTTCGATTGAGAAAGTGCTTCCATTAGATTGGCCCAGAGGCAAGTCTATGGGGGCATTTTTAAATATTCATGACTGATGTGGGAGGGCCCAGACCACTGTGGGTGGTGATGCTCTTGGGCAGGTGGTTCTGGGTTGTATGTACTAGAAAGCAGGCTGAGCAAGTCAGTAAGCAACATTCATCCATGGCCTCTGCTTCAGTTCTTGGCCTTACGGTCTTCCTGGCCACTTCCTCGACAGAGGGCAGCCACAGGCGGGATGTGAGGGGCATGCCAGGACAGATGCTAAGAGGAATCTCTCTTCTTGTGGATTGGCAGTAAATTTAAGTCACCACTGACCTCCTTTTTCTTCTGCATACCCCACCCCGTCTCTGACCTTGGTCAAAATGATTACCAAAATGTGGCACTTTTGAAAAGACAAGGGTTTTGTTCCTTGTGTTGGTTTTATCTGATTCGCTAAGTTCAAGTAATAAAGAGTGCAAGCTGGACATGATGGCCCAGGTGGAAATCTCAGCACTTGGGAGGTAGAGGGGCCAATGATTGTCACAAGTTCAAAGTCAGCCTGGGATAGATAGGGAAAACCTGTCTTAAACAATAGCAACAAAATTAATAAAGAATGTGGGTGTGGGTGTTGAATATTGGTACATCTAACATTAGCATATCATTTCTTAAAATTAGATGGCAAAATTGGGGAATAAGAAAGCCTAAAGTAAGCTCATCTACACAAACACCAGAGGAGCAATGATAAAGCCATTAAACAACAGCCAACGACATCAATTTGTTTTTGTTAACATCCTATTTCTCCAAAGAATTGAGTTTTATTGCTAGGATGACTTTAAGCATCTTAGATTCAAGACAGATGCAAATAAACACACTCCACTAACAAAGACTCACTTCATTCAGCACATGTTCGCACACTCCCAGCCCAGCAGGAGAGAAAACAAAGACCCACCGCTTGGGGAGGCAGGATTATGCTGGAAGCACCTGGGCCAGATAAAATTTCCTTCCTGTGCATCGTGTTTTATTAAATAAAGCCACCCCCACCCCCAGGAGTAGTTACTGGGCTCGTGTTAGCAGTAAAGCACAGAAATGCTGTCTCCTTTTACTGCTCTCTATGCACGAGAGCTCTTTTAGGGGCTCCCTTCCCTGCAGTCCCAAGAACATGCTTGTTAAAGCCATTTTGCACTATACAGGTGTTTTGTACCATGGAAACCCTTCCCCATTTTCCTCAGTGCCCAGAGACAGTGGCTTTCAGACTGATGTTGCTGCCAGGGCCCTGGGCATCAGTCTCTCCCTGGAGCACTGGTTCACAAAAGCGTCTTTCCTTCAGTCTCTTCAGTAACAACAAAACAACAAACCTAACTTCTCCCCGCACCTGGCTGGAGCTAAGTTTTGGTTTCCCATTCCAGATTTCTTTCTAAATTATCACCGACTAAACAAGAGTTTAGGGACATCAGGTGGCTAGAGTTCACCTTACTAGAAACTCTGTGGCAGGGAAGGATTTGCAAAGTCTTGGAAGTAAGTGGCTTTGGTGGAGAGAACAAGAAAGGTCAGGTTGGGTAGAGGTATCTGAGAAGAGAGAAAAGGGTCTTTTGTGAAGAAAGGCCAAAGGAGGGTAAAAATCTAATTAAGAACATTGCAGGACAGCACTGATGGGTCTGAGACCATGTGGCATGCTCAGAAGCCTGTGTTCAGCCAGGCAGCGTGAGAGGACAGGGGGACAAGGGTAGGGACTGGACGGTGTGAGGTTCTGCAGTCAGTGGAAATGGTCCCTTCTACTTCATCACCGGCATCCAGTGTGCTGCCACACCAGAGGTACACGCATCACACTGGCCCATCCTGCCAAGAACCTGGTTCCACTCTCCAAGGCTGGGGAGGAGACAGAGAATTATTTACTGACAAAATTATTAAATATTAATAAATTATTAATTTCAAACATAAGGAAAGGTTCATGTTTAATCATAGAGTGACTGAGAGCTGGCTTATTTCCATAGGAATACATGATACATCATTTGGAGTCATTTCAAGCCCAAAGCATTGGCTCCAGTTTGTCAGGAGGTCTCTTTGACTGTGGTCAGTTCCTTGCGCAAACAGCTAAGTCCATGTGGAGAGGATCAGGCCTGTAGCCCAGGCTCTTGATGGCCCTAATGCTTGCTTACTTCTGGAACCACATTCAGTACTGGATTTCTCCAACTCTCAGGTAGGAATGAAGACAGAAACCCTCAGAAAACTTAAAGAACCATCTACCCAATTCTCTTTGGCCATCAGAGCTTCTTTCCCACCCGTCCCTCCCATTCCCCCAACAACCTGTCTTCCAATCATGGTGTCTGAAGCAGGTGTGTTTATGAGATGGTGCTGAGTTTTACCAACACCCGTGACTAGGACAATCCTGAGGTCTCTATCTCTGGGCCACAGCCTTGTAGCTGCTTCCAAAGTCACACCTTGCTGGACACTAAAGGCATGTCCTCCTGAAGCTTAAGGCTAGCAGGCGATGGGCAGGTATAGATAGCTCAGTGCTTACTGTGTGCGTGTGTGGAGCCTCTCGAGTGAAGGTGGGGTGGTGGAGACCCTGGGTTGTAGGTGCAGCTCAGCAAGTTCAACCTACCAACGCCAGCATATCTTTTCTCCTGTTACTTCAGCAGGGCTCAAATTCTGAATTCAAGTCACTGCCAGCCTTTTAAATCTGTGAGCCCAGCCTGCACTACACCACAATCTGAGTGGGAAGGAGGCAACTGTACTTAGTCGGACAGACCAGCAAGACTGAGTTAATTTCTTAGAGAACAAAAGGCTTAAGAGTCCCTCAAAGTGTACCTTCCCGTCTCATGTGTCCTTAGCTCCGACCTGCGATTTTTCTACATGGTACCAAGAGGGGGCGTAACAACTTGGGGAAAGTAGGTAAACCGAGTTTAGTACTTCCTACCATGTGTCTGCACTCTGTTAGTACTTGACCTGTCTTTCCTTTCTGAGGTGCACGATGCACCTACCCTAACACTACCACAGAAAGGTTGGAAGTTGATGGGGAAGCTAACTTGCTGGTCACAGGATTAGCTAATCCAGCCCAGGATGAGCATCCAAGCATCCAACCCGGAATCTTGGCTTCAGCACCTTGCTTCAAGATGAAAGTGGGGATTGTTCAATAAGATACAGACTCACTTTGAAAGTCTTACCGTTTGTACCCTGCTTCTTATCAAATAACTGTGAGTAACAGAATCAGCTTCTGCCAGGGCTCTGTTACATGAAGTTTGATGACTTCTTTTATATACTACGCTATTATTTATATGCTCACTATTTATATCATTAATTGCACTTGTTAGTTGTTTATATTTATTCTGTTCCAGGCCTTTCACAGTCATTGTTTCAAATACAAATGCTGCAAGGCCAGAAACCTAGAGAGGTTGAGTAACTTGTCTACAGTCACACAGCTAGAAGAGACGATAATACAGCTACTTAAACTATTTGAACTCATAAGGCCATGATTTCTCTTTAACCTCATGGCAGAACTGAATTCCCAACAGGGCAAAGTGCTGGGGTGACATTCAGTCTGATTGCCAAGTAGGGGGTGGAGGCAGGCATGAGAGGAAGGATTGGACCTGATTCTCTGGCAGGGCTTCCTTAGGGTAAACTCAGAAAATATTGTTTTCAGTCAGACTGTCAGATTCTGTAAATTATTACTATCAAACTGACATACAGCTCCCCACAGAGAATACTTTTTTTGACAGTTCATAGAGATCATGATGTAAGAAAAGGGTCAAAGTTCCAAGCAGTGGACAGACAAGCAGCTCCGTACCACACAACCCAGCTAGTTGCAGGGCTGACCCTTGGGGGTGAAGATGTTTGCACAGGATGGCTTCGGGTTGCAGGCGTGGAGCTGCAGCCTGGCTTCAGGATTAACCAGCCCAGGCTGTCTCTCAGATTACAGGCCGTGTCAGTATGGAACAGTGTTTCAAAAATGGCAGGACAAGACCCAGGGAAACCTTCACGGAGATCTTTCAGGAAGAATGGTTCACAGGGCAGCTAAGTGAATAGCACTCTCAACATCCATCAAGTCACCAATGAGTATGGCATTAACACAGCCCTGGTAGCCTCATCTTAATCCCCCTTCCTGCAGTCAAGGAACTGGATAAAAAGCCTACTGTTCACTGGCAATTTACACAACCATAGCCACTGACGTGTTTTTCCACCTGTATAGATAAAAAAGGGGGGGGGGGCGCTAAGGTCACATACTCCTAAAACGAGGGAAGAAACCGGAATTAGACACAAAACCGAAGAACTGCACAATCATGCTATGAACGTTTAAAAATCTGGTTCGATTTCCTGTTCTTTCTGCTTCCAAATTATGTGCTCAAATGATCGGTTTCCACATTAGATCTAGTAAAGTTCTAAATGCCAGTCATAGTGTCAATGGCCCACCGACAGTAAACCACACACGCGCAGTGGGTATGTCTGCGTGTGTATACGCTGGGATACGCACAGCTTCAGACTGTTCTATCCACATTTTCTGCTCAGATTCTCTGGAGACTGAGCACCCATTTTCAAGACAGCAGGTCTCCACGAATGTTGTTATTGTTTTAGCAAAGGGCTGGAGTGGAGCGTGGTAGAGAATGGAAAGGAAGATGCAGCTTCCTGGGCATCACCACACACCCACATGAGAACCTCCGGCAGGGGGACTTGGGTCTTTGAATTTACACATGTTCCCAAGCAGCTTCTCCTGCACACTGACTTTCCAGATTAGCAAGCAAAAGGACTCAGGAAACTTGGGCCCTGCGACTGAAGCAGGTTAGGTGGATTTCTGAGGAGGCAGGAAGAGTTACTGTCCCCAGCAACTGGCTAAAAGACATTGGGTTTGGGATCCGTGACTACCAGCAAAAGTCCCTCCCGGTCCCTTCCATCTGCACTGAGGAGGCTGGACCACAGCCCAGCCCCTAGAACCGAACCCCGGCCACCGAAGTGCTCGCGCACTAGCTCGGCGGGATCTGGACCCGGGTCTGAGGGTGCCAGGCACCTGTCCCTCCCCTGCCAGCGGCCGGCGCCCCAAGCTGCTCCGAGCATTCTATTACCCGAAGGCGGCTGCAGCCTGGGGCACCCGGATCCTGGACTTCAGAGGCGAGAGGAGCAGCCGCAGTCGCAGGGCCGCAGGGTGGACCGCTGCAGTCGCCATAGTTCCAAGTCGCACCTCCCCGCGAAATGCGCGTGCGCCCAGCTGGATGCCACCCTGCAAGTGCCGAACTCGAAGCCACGCCCCGGCCGGCCACACCTCTTGTCAGGCCTGATCAGAAACGAAGCGTGTTTTCTCTTACACCTGGCTCTCCCAGGGTGGGTAGTCCTATTTTGGCACCGCTCCTTGCTTGCAATTGCTGTGGTTTCCAAAGCTTTGGGGAGGCGGGGCCACCTGCTGGACATCTAGGCAGAGCCTCTGAGAGACAAGACCACCATTGTTTCCTGCTTTTGTTGAGAAAGGGCCTTAAGTAGCTCAAGCTGGCCTAGAACTATGTAGCTGATGTTGACCTTGAGCTCCTGATCCTCTGGCCTCACACTGAGATTACTGGCCTGCATCACCACACCTGGTTACATTACACTTTCCATATATCTATCTCTTTTTGAGTCCCTTGCTGCTAAGCAAAAAGATAGCAGCAAGCTTTTAGGTTACCCATGTGTAGGAGAGTATTCTTTTAAGATGTGTTACATTTGTTTGTGCTGTGGAACATTTGTTTAATGATGCAAAGATGTGTTGCATTCTTTTATGTTGCATTTGTTTAACTCTGTGAAGCTGTGTTACTGTGCCTGTCTAAAATACCTGATAGGTCAAATAAAGAGCTGAACGGCCAAAAGTGAGGCAGGAGAAAGGATAGGCAGGGCTGGCAGGCAGAGAGAATAAATAGGAGAAACCTGGGAGAGATGAAGGAGAAAAAAAAAGGGGGGGGGGCAGCCACACAGCCAGACACAGAATAAGAAGGAAAGAAAAGATATACTGAAATAGAGAAAGGTAAAAGCCCAGAGGCAAAAGAGAGAAAAAGAGAGATGGAATCATTTAAGAAAAGCTGGCAAGAACTCTGTGTTTATTTGGGAGCTGGGAGGCAGGCCCCCCAAAAGACCAAGAGTAAAAACAACTACAGTCAGGGAAGTTAGGATGTCTTGGACCACATGGCTGTGGAGCAGCATTCAGGCCTGCTTAGTAGTTTCATAACACTATGTTAAGACACAATACCTCTCACTGCAACATTAGCTCTTGATTCTTTATAACCTGCTGCTTATAAAATGCCATTGAGCTCCTCCCTTCTCCATTTAAAAAAATTTTTTTTTCAAGGCGAGAAAACCATGAAGCCCACCTTGATTTCCTCCCCCTCTTCCTCACCTTCCTTGGCCTGGACATGAAGGAAGAAGCGATTGGTTCATTGGCTCAATTTTTGGTAATATTATGTCAGCAACTATGAAATGTTATCACACAAAGCTGCTCGATGTTAGCCACAAACTGGATATCAACCTCTTAGATAACCTGGTAATTTGCTTATACCATGGAGAAGCAGCCCAGGGTGAAGCTAGCTTTGCTTAGATGCTCAAGCCTCCTGCCTCAGCCTCCCAAGTGCTGGGACTCCAGCAAAGAACAGCTGAGGAAGTGCTGACACAGATAAAGGAGCATCCAGATGTATGGACGAGAGTTGACACATTATTGGAATTTTCATTGAATGTGAACATGGCATTTTGGAAAGTGTGGTTAAAAAGCAAGATGAAAGATTCTTCCAAGGAACTGATGTGAAGGAATAAAAAACCATGTTGTTGGTCTCACTATCAAGATGACATTTACCCCAACTTGAATAGAGAGCCGACTCCCATCAGTTGACCTCTGACCCCTACATGAGCACTGTAGCTCAAGTGCACACAAATAAATATAAAAGAAGAGCCACCAAGTGGGCATGTTGCTCATTTGTGAACCTTCATCAAGTTAAAGCGAAATAATTAGATAGGTTACTGTGGTGATATTTTATTTGTACTCTAACAAATAAAGCTTGCTTGGAGATCTGAGGACAAAGCCAGCCACTATATTAAACACAGAGGTCAGGCAGTGGGAGCACTCATCTTTACTCCTAGTATTCGGGAGGCAGAGATTCATCCGCATCTCTGTTCAAGGCCACACTGGGAACAGAGCCAGGCATGGTGGCACACACCTTTAATCCCAGCACTAGTTAACCATAGAGGTCTGGAGGTCTGTACAGACAGGAAGTGATAGGGCTGGGCGGAAAGAGGATGTGATGTGGCTGGGTGGAGAGAGGAAGTAAGATGGCAGGGCACAGAAAGGTATGTAAGGTGTGAGTACAAGAAGTAGCTCTCTTGGGCTGAGAATTTCCTAGAGGTAAGAACTTGTGGCTAGCTTGTTCAATTCCTCTGATTTTTCAGCTTTCACTACAATATCTGGTTCCGGTTTTTTATATATTTTTTTTATTAATAAGACCATTTAGCAATTTGTGTTACAGGTTGCATCTTTTTGTAAAGAACTCATTAAAAAGCAAAGAAAAAGTACATCAAGATAAATGGTTAAGATGTCTTTGAGGTTGAACTCCTTTTCTCATTCCCGTATATAACTACACAACAGATGGAGGCAGGAACACAATCACAGCAAGTGGAAAACCTGTGCTTGGGAGCAACTGTGGAGTCTCCTCCCTCATTTTCTGGTCAGGCTCCCCTTGCTTATCTGGTTTCTGCTCAAGTATAGAAGAGGAACTTGGCATGCACCACAACCCTTCAGAGGTAAATGTGGCCTTTCAGGGTGGCACTTCAGAGTTGAGTTGAAGGTAAGGCCTCTGAGCCATGTGGATTTCAGTGATGTGACCTCTTGGGGACAGTACGTACTGCTTGGGAACACCTTTTCACTATCAGCATACTTGAATGCACAAGACATGCCAACATGAGCAATATATTCACACAAACATCATTCAGTACCCTGTATTTAAAGGATGAAATTTTATTTCACTTTTTTTTTTTTTTTAAAGAAAGGTTACTAAGCGGGGCAGTGGTGGCGCACGCCTTTAATCCCAGCACTCGGGAGGCAGAGCCAGGCGGATCTCTGTGAGTTCGAGGCCAGCCTGGGCTACCAAGTGAGTTCCAGGAAAGGCGCAAAGCTACACAGAGAAACCCTGTCTCGAAAAACCAAAAAAAAAAAAAAAAAGGTTACTAAAAACAGAACCAAACAGAACTCTGGGTTCTGGGAACAGGGTTAGTCTCCTCAGGCCTTCAGTGTCTGGGTGGTGGTGATCTTGTTTTTTTTCAATGATGTGGACAATGACACTCAGGCCTGGCTTGCACCCCAGTCCACAGCATTCTGCACAGCTTGGGAGGTGGCTTTAAAGAAGTGCTCTAAATCCATGCTGGGCTCCCAGCGAGACTCCCATGTCCTGTGCACTTGTTTGGAGCAGGTGCCACTGACTACAAAGTCATCAGTCATTATGGGCAGTCTATGAGGTGCAGAGGGCAAATGAAGGTCTTTGGGTCTAGCCTATCAATGACTGGCTCCGTGTAGTTGGTTCAAAGCCTTTCTTGTACAAGGGACTGGCCAGCGTGCTAGAAGTATAAGGCTTTATCTGCTGACTGTCCTTCAACTCATACAGGCTCAGCTACAACTCAAGGTGCCAAGCAATTGTCTGGATGTCAGTGGTGAGCCTGGCCAGTAACCCATGGAAAAGACCTGGAAGTCTGTGGTCACAATCTGGGCCTGGACCTGAAGCACCTGTCTTCTGCAATGGACCCATAATTCTTCCCTTACAGAACACTTAATAGACATGATTTTAACACTAGGACCCTGACTGCTACTACAATTCCAAAAACAGTTCTGGCTTTTCTTGCCATCCCCCCACCCCCTCAAAACTCCATTAAAAATTCTAATTCTGTCTTCTTAAAACAGCATTAGAATATAAGTTAAGAAGAAAGCATTTAAAGACTATCCAGGTTCCTCCAGGAAAGTCTGGAACCTTCCCTGCTCCAATTCCCTTCCAATGTGCACACACTATGCACTGAAGGCATGAACCCAGCATGTGTGACAGGAGAACTGAGGCATATAAAGTTACAGCAGGGTCCCTCCAAAGAACATGTAGCCATGTCTAGAGACATTTTTGTCACATCTGGTGGGTGGAGTTGACTTGTACTACTGGCATCCATCAGATGGAGGTCAGGAATGTTTCTAAATATTCTACAGAGTACAGGATAGGCCAACAGTGGAGGATGAAGTGCCAACCAGTACCAAAGGGCCACCAAAGTCAAAGCTGCTTTGCAGCCCATTCCAGGAGTGCTGTGTATCTCTGAGGTTGCAGGGGATTCAGAATCACAACCCACCATTGTCAACCGGACACCTGAATCTTTTCTAATCGCCAGACTGACTGTCACTGCTTAGCCTCTGACCAGCAGGTGCCGACAGTGACTGTGGTTGGCTCAGGCAGCTTCAGTCTTTCCTTCTCGTTCTTCCACCTCCTCCCGGGTGGCGCACGGGCTTGCTAAAGGCACAGTGACTGCACTCTGAAGCTGTCCTTTTTGATTCATGGCACACAGAAGAAACATATTTTTCTACAGTACATTTTTCTGGGTAAACTGAGGAAGCAGCTCTACAGTGAGCAGTGCTGAGGCTCTGGTCATATCCAGGAAGAGATGCCGTTTCCTGATCAGTATTTCCTGCACACCTGTTCCCTCTGTGGGGTGCAGGCCGAGGAACTGCACCAAGTGTCAGAAGGGTAGAAGAGGACTGAAAAACTTAGAGCAGGTTTTACAGCAGCTGCAATCAGCGGCAGCTGTCGGTGGTGACTGCTGGAATCTGCTGATCTCCCTCTGCCCTGAGATTTTCCTCCTCCTTAGCACTCCTTACCATCTCATTAACTTACAATTTGACAGACTACAATTGCACATGATTCTTAAAGCTTACGGGGACAGCACAGCACCGACGCTAAAGTTAACAGAGCCTATAACTGTAGGAAGAACCGTGGCTGTCGTATTAGGCATCTGAGCAGAACCTGACTGCACTCAGTGCATGAAGTAGGAAGCTAGTGGATTTTACATTCTCTGAATGTTTTTTTTCCCCCTCGCCCAAACGAAAGCACGGGAAACTGAGTAAACAGCATAACTGAAGACTATGGCACAAGCTGAACGAAGACCATCTTTCTCCTCCAACACCTCCTCTCTCCTTTTCACAACCCAATAGGCTGTTCTTTTTATCTCCCACCCCAACCTTGTCCTGGGCCACTGAGCAGTCTTCACGCTTGTACTTTCTGAAGAACCAGAGTGGGCTGCAGACTTGTCTTCCCATTCTCCAGTTCCAGAATGCATGACACTGTGCGCAGATGCAGGGCTCGTACTGAGATGAGTTCTGAAGGCCAGGGGCAAATGGGGCTGGTGCACCGGGTGAACAGTCTGGTTCCCACTGCCAGAGCCAGCCCAGGCTTAGCTCTGGCTGGCGCGTATCAAGTGGTTCAGCAGGTCTATCCTGTAACACTGGTGAAGCGCCCAGGCCAACTTTCCCACTGTGGCCCCCTTGGTGCCTTCCCGCATCAACCACTTCTGGAGCATTTGGTAAACCTTTTCTTTCAGCCCGTCTCGCTCATAGTCGTGGTCAATTTCATCGATCTGAGACTCAGTGAAGCCCAGTTTGCGGGCACAGTTTTTCCACTGCCTTCCCAGGTTTTCCCTCACAGGGTTCAGGTGTTTATCAGTCAGACTACTGGTGTTATCTGCCAAACAGAAAAGAGGAGAAGCCTCAGGCTACAGCTCATTTGAACATTCTCCTGTCTGCAATGCTGAAACCGCCCAGGAAAGTGAAGTGGACCAAGAGACGCAATAAAGGGAACTTTCTGTTCTGTTTGAGGCAGTCTTGCTCTGTAGCCCCTTTGTTTCCTGAGGACTGGGCTTCTAAGTGTGCACTGCCGCCAGGTGATAACTGCTAGTGACTTGTTGGACAACACTAGGCCTAGCTCCAGCCGTTAAGGAGTCTTTGTACAACTTAAAATAGGGTGTCCCTTCCTTCATGGCAGATGACACCTTCCTGAGCTATAACTGGTGGCTTCAAGAACCAATCCCCTACATGGCTGTTCTATTCAGCTCGTGCCTGCAGCCTGTTCTGGTTAAGACTAACTACATGTAATGGGGAGGGCGTTGTTTCTTTGGGACATTGTCAACTTACACATGGCCACAGGCCAAGGCCACCCATCTCTAGACAGTTCACTTTCCTCTTAATAAAGACACTGAGACCAAGTGTCACCCTCATTTAATTACAATGTCTTCTCTATCTCTCAACAGATGAGGTACATACACTTTTTAAGGTTTTCTCTCTCTTCATCTAACTGCTGACCCTTCATTTTATATACACATGGCCTTTCTCTTGCTCCTAGCTCTATCACCTTAGACTTTCATAAAAATAAGTAAAGGAAACACCTGAAAATAAGAAATGGCTCAGTGTGGTGGCACAAGCCTTTAATCCCGGCACCTGGGAGGCAGAGGCAGGTGTGGGGAGGGAGAGAGGGGGAGAGAGAGAGAGAGGGAGGGAGGGAGGGAGGGAGGGGTGGACAGGCAGACAGACAGAGGAGATAGACTCTGTCTCAAGAAAAAAAAAAAAAAAGAATGCCAGGCATGGTGGTGCATGACTTTAATCCCAGCACCCAGGAGGCAGAGGCAGGTGGTCCTCTGTGAGTTCAAGGCCAGCCTGGTCTACAAAGTTCTAGGACAGCTAGGCCTGTTACACAGCGAATCCCTGTCTCAGGAAACAACAACCAAAAAAAGAAAAGAAAAGGGAGAAGTCATCGTAACAGTCAGAAGGCTCAGAAGGCTGAATGTGAGGGACAAACGAAGCCCCCCATTCCCCTCTCTGCCATCAGCACCACAGTGCAGTCTGTCGATTCTGGCAGTAGTCTAAGAGCCTCAATAACTGTAAATTCCCAGTCTCTCTAGAGAGGAGGCCTGGGTGTCAGGACAGTCACAAAGGCAACTTCAGTTCCTCAAAAGCTAAGAATCCATCTCTCAGGCATTTTAAAGGTCACTCTTCCAGTGCGGTAGTTCAGCGATTGGCAAAGTATGCAGCCTGTGGGCCTAGTCTGGCTCCTGCCTTTTGTGAACAGTTTTGGGGACCATATCTATACTCATCCATGTGCAGACTATCTGTGGCTGCTTCTGCACTCCAAGGATGGAGAGGCCTCGGGGCAAGCAGAGCCTTGCCTACTACATGCCCCTTCATAGAACAAAGCAAAACAAAACAAAACAAACAAAAAAACCAAAACTCCCAACCTCCACAGTTAATCAGAAGGCTGAATTGCAATTCCTTTTTGAGATAGGGTCTTGCTATAGCCAGGCTGACCTGGGACTCAGCACCTTCCCACTTCAACCGCCCTAGTGATGTGATTACAGGCATGCATCACTGTCTCATGGCAGAAAGCTCTTGTTTTTATTACACAGTGCTATGGAGAGCATGGCCTTCTGTGTTTTACAGAATCCCTTTGCTGCAGAGCCGAGGGAGCTATTTCTCCAAGTCTGAACAGGATCATGGATGATGATGACAAGTTTAATATTCACAGTTAGTGTCCTACATTTTCAAAACACATTGACTAGTATAAGCTTCACACCACCGCTACCAATTAGATACTGTGATTATCCCTGTGTTAAAAAAAAAAATAGATTAACAAAGGATTAAAAGTTACTGAGTAAGGGCTGGAGTCGATCGCTCAGCAGTTAAGAGCACTGGTTGTTCTCGCTTGGGTCAGTGCCCAGCATCCAGACAGCTCACGACTATCCCTAACTCCTATTCCAAAGGATCTGATACATTCTTCTGACCTCTCTGGGCACCAGGCACGAATACAGTGCAAGCAGACAAAACAGTCATACAAGTAATATATATCTACAAAAATTACTGAGGAAACACAGGATAACTTTCAGTGAGAATCTTGAAAGAAAATTTAAGGTTCTATTATGTTCCTCTCAACAAGTAAAAATGGTCAAGAAGTGTCCAAGTCACAAGACACTGTACCCTTTTCAAAAAACTTCCTTCGGTGCTGGGAACTGAGTTCAAGGCCTCATGCATGCTAGACAAACAATCTACAACAGCTGCACCTCAGCCCAACCCTGGTCCTTAACAAGCATGTTACCAAAGATGGCTCGGTGCGTGGAAGCTGGCTCTTCTTTGCACAGGTTGTCTGGTAGTTGTGAACTCAGTCCAAGATCCATATAATTGTAGTTTCCAATCTGAACACCAGAACTATTGTATATAGTATATTTTATGGACTCATCTGAATAGAGAAAAAGATACAGGTAAATGCATGAGATTGAACGCAAAAGAAAAATATACGGCATGTAAAGGTGCAGGGCTTTATACGGATGTTCAACTGCTTATCCTATGACACCCTTAACAGTCAGTTCTTTATAATGTGGCTATTTGACTTCATAACTATTATGATGCCTACCATTAAAAAAAAGGACATCAGTGTTGGCAAGACTGAAAAAATGAAGCACCTGTACATTACTGGGAATGAAATGGTATAACCAAAGTGGAAGACAGCATGCAGTTTCTCAAAAATTAAAGATAGAATTACCATATGATTCAGTAATTCCATTTCTAGGAATGTATATACACATATACACACATTCTCTCTCTCCCAAATACCCATAGAGACTCAGAGACAGACAGACAGAGATTTCTACATTCAAGCTTACAGTAGCATTACTCAAAATAATAGCAACCCAAGGGCTACTTTATTCTGCTTTCCCACTTACTGGTAGACACACCCTCCTATTATGGCAGTTAGAGCTAGAAAGCTCACATTTGTTAGGTCTATCTTATCAGAGAAGCAAGCAGAAGAACCACATCTGTGAGAGCCTCCTCAGGGTATAATAATCCCATGACTGACCGTGAACTGAGATTCCCTGGCTACTGGCAAAAACTCAGCATCATTAAGAAGGTCTACTGTTGGCAAGAGAGAGGGAGGACTCTTGGAGCCAACTAGTAAGATTGGGCTACTCATACGGAGACGGCCAGAAAATGACGTATTAAATATTGGTGATGACTGCTTTCCCCCCATGCCAATTCAAAGCTGCATGAGGGAAGGAGCTCAGGCTGCTTGTTCATGTTATAGTTCTCCAGCAGCCAGGTAAAAAGCAGGAAGCACTCTAGACATTTTTATTGAATTAATCATGAATGAAGAAAATACAATGGTGACACAAAACATTTTAGCTACAAAGGCAAGGGAAACAAAAGACATCCCACTCATGAGTATGTGTATGGTATAGATCCTGCTGAATACCTTGTCCAATAATGTGCTTTCCACAGAGCTTACAAGAAAACCTACAGAAAAGGCAGAATACTTTGGGGAATCTGCCATTTTGAAAGACATATTGTTTTGTATTGAGGAACACAGGGCCTCATACTTGCTAGGCTGGTTCTGTTCCACTGAGCTACACAGCCAGCTCAGAAAGTTCTGGTTCTCAAAGCTTCCTCTACACTGCTGATCCTTGGATCCCTAGGACACAGTACAGTTATTGCTGATGGATGACATCTGGGTAAGGGAAGGTATCATGGGAACTGTTATTTGGTAATAATGATGGATACTACGCTACTTCCATGCTAGAGTATTGAAAACTACATCAACTAGCCTGGATTTCACGAGAGAGAGCTATGGAAGATGAAAAATACTTTTCTTACCACAAATTGTAGCCTACATCTTAAACAAGAAACAAAAATACCTAAGACTTCCTTCTCACCCTCAGAAGACAAGAAGTAAAATAAAAGAATATAGAATAAATAAATAAAATACTTTCCATTTATTGGAGAAGCTGGTATCTCCCACAGGCTGAAGAGAGATGCTTATCAGTTATAAGGGTCTCTAATCCAAATACAATTGCAGACCGTGTGGTCTGATGAAGACCATTTCAATGTGGAAGGCTGCCCCTGCCAGCTGAAGGCTCTGAGGAACTTACTCTTTGTCCTATCAATAACTTAGAATTCATGACAACGTTATTGGTGGCTTCAGTTTCAGGGGAAAAAGACAAGACAAGACAAGACAGGGACTGTTAAAAATTCATTTACCTGATGGTGGCAGGGAGATGAATGGAACAGTGGGTGTGCTTCCTGGCAGGTTGCTCTCAGGTACCGGAGTTTTAGACATTTGGCTTGGATTTGGCCCATACCAAACTCCTGCACCTGCAGTTCCAAACCCATGCTGGTTATATAGTCCGTTGTTCCACAACGGCACTTGTGTTTGGCTGGCTGGCCCTGACAGCTGGTGTGCTGCATTTCCATATCTGACTCTGCTGGGATCAGAAAGACCTTTGGCGCCTGTACTCTGATCATTCTCATGAGGTCTCTGCTGCGCAAAGGGGTCATGGGAGACCCTTCGTTTCCTTTCCTCCTCTATGCTGTAAGCCACATTCCGCCTGGGCTGCGTTTTCTCCTGCTTCTCTGTGAATGCTCCAAAAGCATGGTAACTGGCTTCCTCTTGGAGTTTAGCCTGTACACTGCGCTCACTCTCTTCCTGTGGTTGCTCTGGAGAAGAAGAAAACCAGGATTCCTCCACAGGCCCTATCGGGAGTCCCTGGGAGCTGTGCAGTGAACCGGGCTGTTCTGCAGCAGAGAAGAAATGATCAATATAAAAACCAAAATAAAAACTTGAACATTTTCATGAACCTGTCCTGGGGTGACATGCTGAAAATAAGAATCATGAAAAGCATATAATCGTCTGCTTTCTACAGGTTTAATATATGATCAGCAGGAACCCTTGCTGTCAGGGAAAAACATGGAAATTATCACAAGCAACTAAACAGAGTTTTGCAGGGATGGCTGAGGCAGAAGAGGATTTGCATTGGATCAAGACGGTGACTGTCAACCTTGGAACCATGTGGGGTCTAAAAAAGGAGTAGCTATGTCCTGTGTACATCTTATTGTTCTTTTGTTCTTTAAAAGCCTGTAGAAAGGGTGGAGGGATGGCTCAGTGGTTTAGGGAACCTCCTGTTCTTGCTGAGCACTTAGGTTCAGTTCTCAGCTCAGGACCCATGTCAGGTAGCTCACAACAACCTATAATTCCAGTTCCAGGGGATCTGATGCCCTCTCTTGGCCATCATGGGCACTGCTCATATGTGGTGCATAGACTCAGGCATGCAGGCACACGCACACATGCACACACACATTATATATGTGTGTGTGTGTGTATGTGTGTGTGTGTGTGTGTGTGTGTGTGCGCGTGCGCGTGTGTGTGAGAGATTATATATTTTATATATATATATGATTATTTAATAAAGTACATATAAAGCTTGTGGGAGTGTAGGCCATCATATCTATGACCGGATGAGGTTTGGAAGAGATTAGGTAATTTGCTCCAGATCAGATGGCAGTGACCTTGGTATCTCACATGATGTCTTTGCTTTTGTCGTAATAAAAAAAAGCACCTCCGTATATTACATAACTAGATTCTAGAGTATGCAAGAATTCTTTTAAGGCAGCTGTTTGATCTTACATTTTCTTCCAGTTTCCATATGGTTTTCAGAGTATTTTAGAGGCTAAAATGAATGACTGAGAAAGCAAATGAATGAATGGGGACATTACCTGAATTTGACCTGCTTGGAGGTAAGGGCACACAATCGTTTTGGAGAGAATACATTCTCTTCAAAACTGCACTTTGATCTGGATACTGTTTCTATAATTGAGAAGATACACACAAGACTTTAGTAATAAGCAGAAAATTATTCTGAAAAGAACCAAGCTCTTCACACGATGAAGACATTTTATATAAATTTAATAAGCAGTATTTTCCCCACAAATTAAACATTTTCCCCAATAGATAAAATGATATGTCAAATTAACATAGTTAACTGGAGGACTTATATTTCCTAATTTCAAGTTACCACAAAGCTACAGAGATCAAAACGCTGACAGTTACATAAAACAGACACACAGATCAAACGAGCACCCCCATTCCATGGTTAACTGATGTTTGACCAGGGTGCCCTGGGGCTTTCAGAGAGGAAAACTGGACATACATACATACAGAATGAAGATGGACCCTTACCATAGACAAAAAGGAACTCAAAATACATCAATGACCCGAACTCAAGAGCTGAAACTCAAGATTCTTAGAAGGAAGTATAGGAGAAAATGGTTGTGGTGCTGGTCCTTGCAACTATTTCCTGACAGTGATGCCAAGAGCACAGCTAATAATCCCCATGCAATCAAATCAATCTTTTACCACATCAAAATTAGAGTGGATGCATCAAATGAAACCATCTGAAGAGCGAAAAGGCAACCCACAGAATGGGAATTTGATATATTTGATAATTTTGATATATTTGATAAGAGATACACATTCAGGATATATACTTCATACACACACACACACACACATATACACACACAACTCAACAACAATAATAACTACCACCACCATCTCCACCTCTACAAATAACTCAACTTAGAAACCAGCAATTGGAGGGCTGGGGATATGATGCAATGGTAGAATACTGTCCAGCCCAGATCCTGGTTGGATCCCAAGCACAACATTATTTTAGCCAGGCACGGTGGTGGGACATGTCTATAACCCCAGCATGTGGGGTGGAGTCGGGTGGGTCATGAGTTGGTGATGTGTTTTGGCTGTTTGGTTTGACACTGTCAAAAAACAAAAACAATAGACAAAGACCTCAAAGTGGAAAAAATTGAATTGACATTTCTTCAAAGAAGATATTTAATGGGAATAAGCATTAGCACAGGAAAGATGCTCAACCACCAAGAAATGCCACTTCCTGTTGAACAGAATGGCTAAAACAGAAGAACAACATAAAAACAGCCTGTGTTTGTCAGGCTATGGCAACTGAACTCTTGTACACTGCTGGTGGAGAGCATGAGGTGGTTCAGATGCCATGGATAACGGTTTGAAGGCTCCCAAAAAGTGAAACAAGATACCTGTGTGGCCTAGCCACCCCATTTCTCAGTAAATATCATGGAGAACTGAAAGCACATGAGCAGAACAAAGGCCTGTACACCAGTGTTTCCACAGCATCACTCAACAACAGCTCACGGCGAGTAACTCTGACTCTATCAACAGATGACCGCACAGACAGGTGGCACCATCCACACAGTGGGACGTTATTCAGCAACCAAATGAATGACATGGTAAACAAAGTGCTTCAACAAATGGATAAACACTGTGGGGTTTTATCCGTGTGGGATACCTCGAACAGGCAAATTCAGAGACCGAAAATGAAGACTGTTGTGGGAAGAAGAAATAAAGACTAATTACTTAGTAAGCAGAGTTTGTGTTTGGGATGATAAAATTCTAGAAATGGAAAGTGGTGATGGCTATGCAATCCTGAACTTAAAAATGGTTAAAAAAAAAAAGTCGATTTTATCACAATAAATAGAAAACAGAGGTGGAGATACAGCTCAGTTATACAGTACTTGCCTAGCATGCATGGGGCCCTAAGATCGATCCTCAGGTCAGGGTGCGGAAGGATTAGAGAAAACATTCTTCTGTATGTAAGTAACATTTTCATTAAAGAAAGTATGAAAATGTAGGAAATCATACTTTTCAGAAGCCCACCAAAGGAACAAGGTTAACACATTTCTAACTTTCCTTTAAGATTTTTTTTCCTACTCACATTTGTATTTTGTTCTTAACAGAATGCTCACATCAGTAAGTGGTTCAAAAACCATTTGCTGAAAAAAACGCATGATTTGGGAAGGAATGCCACAGCACATTAATATGTCCACATCTTGCAGCATTTTAAATACTACTTTTATTTATATGAAACGTAGCTTTATGTTTTGCTTTGTTTGAGTCAGGGTCTCACTATGTAGTCATAGGTTGTTTTAGAACTCACTTCCAAAGATCAGGCTGGCCTCGGACTCACAGAGATCCACCTGCATCTGCTTCCTAAGTGCTGGGATTAAAGGTCTGTGTTTTCATGTCCAGCAGTTTTGTGCAATTTTAACATTTTGTAAAAGTGATTTTCCTTTTCCATCCCTGTGTGCCATTCCCTCCAACCCTCTGCCCTGTTCTCTAGAGGGAATCCTTATTCAGAGTGGGACATGCAGCCTTTTTCTCCCTCTAGGCACTGGCACGCACATTCCAAAGCACGCAAACACACACTATCTGATACGAAGGGACTCACAATAGTGCTGTTCTGTGACTTCGTGTTTTCACTAACAAGACTTGAAGGTCCTTCTGTGTCATTACATTTTATTTTTACTTCTTCTCAATATTGGCTGTGTGGGTTTAGATCTGTCATGATTTGGGGCATCTACTTAAGACATTTGCATTGTTTCTAAGTTTTTACTTGTCAACTAAAGTATAAGCAACTTTTGCAATTAATTACATGTCTGAATGTGTATGCTAGGATGGGCTCCTAAGGCTATGAGTATGCACGCATGGACAGTTAGTTTCCTAACACTTTGAACACACATGAGGACAGGTTTTTACAATGCCTGATAGGTAATTTATTGTTCAAAAAACTTCACTAATTGGGATGTCTGTATTTACCAACACTTGCTATTACCAATCATTCAAAAATGGTAATTTTAGGGATAAAAAATTCTAAGTGATTCAATTTGTTTTTTTGTGATACCAGATACAGTTTTGAAATTTGCTGGTCAGTGACATGCATTTCTTCTTCTTATGATTCTTGTTCAAAAACATTGTTTTAGCTACTTCATCAGTTCCCTGGGGTGAGTATGTTGTGTTTCTTTTTCCCTCAGACCAACTTCAGCTTGTTGAGTTCACTAGAGAATTTGGGTGGGCTTTTCCCATTAGTATTGTGCTCTATACATCAATGACATTAAGAAAACTAACAGCTTTATTGGATTATATGCTTCTTTCCATCCATAACCATATACCAGCATTTACTTGCCTTTCTCTCATGTCTTTTTGAAAAGTTTCTCCATGTTTGCCCATCTGTAGACACTCTGTATCACCTGGAATGCTTTGATTGCCCTGGTTCCTGGTAGGGTTACTTTTCTGATGCAGTTACTGTCTGAGCATTCTCTTTGGTGATTTGTTGACTTCAGTATTTTGTCTCTGCATTTTTATTGTTGCTTGTTTGTTTTTATGGCTGTTTTTGAAACCGAGTCCTATTATATAGACTTGGCTGGGCTCAAACTCAGAGGTCTACTTGACTCTGTCTGAGTTTGTGCTACTACATCTTGCCTCTGTCTATGATTTAATATAGCAGCTTGTCTTCTGGTTTGTAAGATTCCTCTGGGTCCTGTGCATTTGAGTCCTCTGGAGAAGCAGTCACAGCTCTTAATCACTGAGCCACTTCTCCAGTTCCATATTATAATCAATCATTTTAAATGTTTATACATGTTAATTTTTAAATGTTCTGTGTTTTTTTGCAAAGTATTTAAAGGTAAGAGTGATGGTTAATTTTAATTGTCAACTTTACATACTCTAAAATCACCTGGGAAGAGAGTCTCAGTAGAGGACTATCTATATTAGAGTGGTCTATGGACAAGTCTCTGGGGGATTATTTTGATTACTAAGAAGACCAGCCCACTGTGGGTGGCACTACTCCCTGGCAGAGGATCCTAGAGAATGGAAAAAGCAAGCAGAGTACTAGAATGGGTGTATGAATTAATTACTCTCTGCTCTTGACTGTGGATTATAAAGTGACTAGCTGCTTCAAGTTTCCACTACTTTGATCTTGTTGTAATGGACTGTAACCTCGAATTGTGAGCCAAATAAACCTTTTCTCCTTTAAGTTGCTTTTGTCAGGGTATTTTTATCACATTAAGAAAATAAAACTAAGACAGTAGTTATTTGGACATTATTTGATACAGATTTGTATGTTTGCATTAGGTCAAGTGTGTTAAAAATGTGAGTTTTGAACAGTCTAAATTCTTACTGATTGTTTGGATTTGTTTGCTGTATCAATTAAAAAGGGATGTATTACTATCTCTAAGCACGGCTGAGGATTTGTCTATTTTGGTTTGTGTATTTAAGGGCATGTTACTACAGGTATGTCCATATTGAAAGCTACAGTTATCTTCCTGTGAACTGAACCTTTTTGTCATTATCAAGTGTGAGGTAATCCTTCTTTGACTTAGTATCTACCTTGATTATTATATGTTTCTTTTATAGTGTAAGTATCCCTCCAAAGTCTGTAAACACTTGCTAGTTTCTCTATCTACCTACCTACCTCCTACCCCCCTACTTCCTTCCTTCCTTAAAAATCAGTTTGTTTGCTTGGTTTATTTATTGACGTTTCCTTTCCACATCTATGGGTGTATGATCCTAAGATAGTTATGGCAGCATAGTGATGACTAAGGTGTGTGTGTGTGTGTGTGTGTGTGTGTGTGTGTATACAGATGTGTATGTAGGTTTCTGTTCCTCTTAGCTGGCTGGCTGGAAACTGGACTTTAAACCTCTCTTACTCCAGACACCAAACTCCTCACTGCAGCCTGAGATGCTGCTGCCATTGCGAACTTAGCACAAAGGAAGTACACGGAGGAACTAGCTCTTCTTGACAGCATGTATGTGGTTCTGCCCCCAACAGTGTCTGATTGCTTCTCTGACCCTCTCAGCACTAGCTTGTGGGTTAGCATTTTTGTTCCTTTGTGTGTCTCAATAGATGCGCTCTGTTCTCTTCCTATTTGGTGCCCCTTCCCCCTTTTCATGTGTGGTTACTTTTTTTTGGTGCTGGCAACAGAACTCAAAGCCTCACACATGCTCTATCACTGAGCAATATCCCCAGGATTTTTTTTTTATTTTAATAAATTCCTCAGAATGACTGACCCACTTGTAATTAATAACTTCCAGTCTTTTCAATGTTGGGTGTCTTTTTTTTTTTTTGTATTTTGTATGTATATTTCCCTCTCACTTCACACATTTCAATGGAGAAATGGGCCCAACTGCCAACATGATAGTTCATACAATTTCTAATTTTGTTTTCTGTGTTCCCCACGCTAGCTTACTTCAAATCTCAGTAACAAATTACACTGCTTCTGTATCCATTCTTGATAATGCATTTTGGTACACAGCTGTCCTGGGCACTTACTGTAATCACTCACCTTTAAACTTGCCACATCCTCTTCTACATATTCTTCAAATTGACTTAAGTAAAAAGGCCTAAATTCTTCTTCAATGCCTGCATGAAAAAACAGTCCTTTAAATTTCTTATCTGGTGTGCATGTATGCATACAAGAGAGCATGTTTGTGTATGAGTGTGTGTATGTTAACGTGTGTGTGAGTGTGTGTGGAGGACCAAAGATGACCTTAGCTATTCCTCAGCTGCAATCCACCTTGATTTTTGAGACAGGGTCTCTTGCTGGCCTAGACCTTGCCAAGGACAGTCTGGCTGGCCAATGAGCTTCAGGAACTGCCTGTCTCCTCCTCCCCAGCAATGGAATTACAAGTACTTATCTATCACAGTCGGCTTTTTTATGTGGCAATCAAACTCAGGTCCTCCTGCATGCAAGACAGTTTACCAACAAGGCCATCTTTCCAAATTAGGCCAAATTTCCCTAAATTTCTTAATTAAAAAAGTTAAATATTAATAATCTATTATTTTTAAGTCACTTACCGTAGTGTGTAGACAAAGCAATGAAATAAAATTTGCAGCTCCAAATCAGTGACTTTGATGAAGAGACTAGATAGAGCTCAATGCCAGGTAGAAAGAACAGGGCTAATACTTGCAATCCCTGGCTCCAGCAGAACAGTGTGCCTTGCTCTGGTCACAGCACAAAGTTCTGTTATGTGAGGTAATCTCCAAGTGAATAAGGATGACTGAACTCCACATTTTCTGTCTCTCTGGCACTAAAAAGCTAGAGCTACTAGAGTGGGGGTAGGGGTGGGGGTTCTGGACATGGTGAATTATGCATGTAATCCCAGAACTTGCAAGGCTGAGACAGAGGGACTGTCACAAGTTCAAGCTCAGGCTAAGCTACATAGTGAGTTCCAAGTTAGCCTGCACTACAGAGTGAGGCCCCATCTTAACAAAAGAAAACAGGAAATCTTCAGTTCTAGGAAAACGGACTAGCCATATTTTTCCTTATTCTTCCTGGTAAGTACAATAAAACATCCTAGATATTACATACATAACAAACATATGGATACCCTGGGAGAAAGAAAGGTAGACAGTGTGGCTTGGACCTTAGGGTCTGTGAAAACACATGGCAGTAAGTTCAGTGTGTTTTCTCTTTGCTTCATATCTCCCACAGTTAAAGCTGAAAAGCTAGCAACCCGGCAGTATCATCAGGCACAGACAATAGCAGTAAGAAAACAATGACAAAAGCCTGTGCTTTCTAGCCAGAGGACTAAGCATGGGGCAACCTACGAGCACACAAAACCTTTGGTCAATGATCACTCTACTAACAGCTAACACTACAGAAAATAACCATGATTTCACCCTATTCCCACAGACTCTATGGACAGCCTAGATTCACGTGGTGCACACAACATAAACAGATATAAATCTTAGAGTTGAAAACACAATAACCAAAACAAAAAGCTCAGTAAGGGTTTAAAGTGAAATGGAAGGAGCAGAGGATAAGCAGTGAGCCGCCCAATCTGAAGAAGAGGGAAAGTTCATTGGAAACAAAGAGTACAGTATCAGAGACCTGTGGTACCACAACCAACATCTGGTATGTATGTCATCGGAATTCCAGAAGACAAAAGGAAGGAAGTAGAGCTGAAAATGCACTCAAATGAAGAAACACTTGAAAGACTTTGAAAGATGGTACAAGGAAAAACCTGTGCATTCAGAAAACTGAGGAAACCCCAGCACAAAGAAACAAAAATCCACACTAAGACAAATAACTAATCTGAAAGGCAAAGACAAAATACTTAAAATAACCACAGAAAAATCCCTGAGTCTCCTATTGAAATAATGGTATCATTTGGGCAGAAGCAGGGGAGGTTGATAGCTTCAGGACAGGGGATGGTTGCTAGAAAAGCTAAGCCATTGATTAGAGCTAGAATGCTTGGCAGCACCCTGTGGCCCCTGGGGAGAGGAACTAGAGATTAAGTTCAGTCACTAATGACCAATGATTTGCTTAACCTGTGTCCATGTAATAAAACTCCTACACAGACCCATAAACACTGGGGTCCCAAGAGTTTCTGGGTAGGTGAAGAAAAGAGGTGCTGAGTGGGAGGCACTCTTGCAGAGGGTCTGAAGGCTCATCAGCCCCTGCCCGAACCCACTGCCTATCTATATACTTCTTCTATCTGGTTGTTTCTGAATTTAATACTCTACAACACAGACCTAAGTGCAAGATTTCTTGAGCCAGATGAATCTTTCTATTACCAAACCTGAGATGGGGTATACACACCCAAACTTGTGGTTAGCTGGGCAGTAGCCTGGGTATCCTATGTCTTCAATGTGGGTGATAGTCATGTGAGACTAAGCCCTTATATGTGGAATTTCATGATAGCCTGTATAATAGTGTCAGAAGTGTAAATATGTGTAGTATCAGAAAAATGATACATGGCAATCCAAACAATGGAAAATAAAACCAAAAGGCTTTCTTTTTAAGTTTCTTTAACTATGAGGACTGAAGCAAATCCACAACACTGTCTGATGTATCCTACATGTATAAAGGGGAAATACTGAAGGAGAAAGTAAAGAAAGGTTTCCATGCTTCACTCAAGGTACTAAAATGGCAAACTGGAAAAATCAATCATGTGATAAATGACATATGGGTAATGTAATGCCTAGAATGTCCATGAAGACCACGCAGAGAAAAACACTATAGATGAATCAAACTAGAATTCTAAAACAAGTTCAAGAACCTACCTAGTGGCAGGAAAATGCTACAGTCTGAATCTTGAATGACCCCCAGTGCATGCCTTGGTCTTCAGCCCGCAGCACTGTCAGGAGTTGTGGGATCTTTAAGAGGTGGGGCTCTAGCCAGGTGCGGTGGTGCACACCTTTAATGGCAGCAGCCAGAAGGCAGAGGCAGGGGATCCCTGAATTGGAGGCCACCCTGGGCTACACAGTGGCAGAGGGTGCGACTCCAGTTGTTTGCTCACAGAAATACAACAGCATGATGCTCTGTATTCCCAACTGCCTTCTACTGTATTCTCTGTTCCTCTGCTTGGGCCCACTTCACACACTCCTAGGTAATCTAGGGGATGAGACAGGTACAAAAGTGGGTCAAACAGCACATCTCCTTCATTTCCCTCAATTCTAGGGTCAACCTAAATGGCAGAATCCATTTCTAAGGATACCAAGAAGATGCGAACCAAGGGGAGGAAAATTAGGTGAAAGACACTAGAAATGGTAAGGTCCAGTGTCTACCAACAGGTGAATACACAACTATCTATCTACAGAATGGAATATTATTCAGCAATAGAAAGGAAATTCTGGCACATTCTACAACATGGATAAACCTTAGAGACATTATATTCAGTAAAACAAGACCGATATGAATAGAAGTACTGTGTGATTTTTGCTCATATGAGACACTTAGGGCAGTCAAATTCAATAGAATTTGTGACTGCTAAGGCTGGAAAAGAGAAAAAGGGAAGTGGAGTAATGCTTCCTGAGTACAGACTTGTACTCTGGATCGAGGAGTCCTGGAGATGGATGGTAGTAAAAGTTGCTGAAAAATAGGAATAGACTTCACACCACTGGACTGTATACTTACAACAGCTAATATGGAAAGCATTATATGCACTTCAAAACAGTAAGAATGCTAATCCACAAAACTGAAGAAGAAAATGAAGAAGCTCATGCGCTGGGGAAGGGTAGTACCTTTTCAGTGACGAGATGCTTGAACTGTGTCGAGCCAGTCTGAGGCCACACGTGAAGCAGTACTCAAAGCATATTCCTACCTGTGATGACTGATGTTCATTGTCAGCTGGACTGGATTTAGGGTCACCCTTCTAGGTGGCTCTAGGAAACAGTTCTAGATGTGCCAGTGAGGGTATTAAGCAGGGAAGACCCATCCTGAATGTGGGCAGTGCTATCCCATGGGCTGGGACCTCGCACTGAACACAAGAAGAAAGCCAAGTGACTGTCAACGTCTTTCTCTCTCTCCTTCCTGACTCTAGATGCGATGTGGCCAGCCTCCTCCCACTTGCTTCCATGCCCTCCTGCCACAGTAGACTGTACTCTTGAACTAAGCCAAAATAAACACTTCGCTCAAGTTGCTTGTCCTGTATTTTGTCACAGCAACAGGAGAAGTAACTAAACTACCGGTGTCACCTTACTGAAGAGTGTCAGCACAGAAGATGCATCCTAAAGAGGCACACAACCCACTCTTACCAGGAAACGTTGGCCGGTCTTCTGGGTCTGTTTGCCAACAGCGCTCCATGAGGCTGATGACCTGCCTTGGGCAATGCTCAATGATGTCTTCCACCTTTGGCCTGTTTCCAGAGTTTACGCAGATCAAGAGCTGCTCAGGACAGATGGCATCTGCAAAGAGGGACGAGCTTCAGTTGGGGCTCTCAGTCCCAATCTACTCTCAAGCAGAAAGATGACAGGACCTGGGCAATACTGCGGTTCTGTCCCTACCTAGTGTATGCTTTTCCCATGGCTGTCTCACTCCACAGAGCAACAGCCTTGTGACAAGGAGTTAACACAGTCTACTGTTGAGATGACAGATGAGGTTTTGACTTTGGCAGATGAAAGACAAAATTAAAAACAAAGCTACTTTTTCACAGAACATAATACATGGGTAAAGTCAGGGCACTCCCCAGAGTTCAACACAGAGGCAAAAAGGGATGGCCTGGGCTTTAAGAAGCTCCGTTTAATGCGAGTGACTTAAAATAAACACTGATGACTGATACTCTAGTGCAACTATGAGGGGTAACACAAGCATGTGGAGAACAGAAGGTCGGAGAAGATTTTCCCGAGTCCAGAGCAGGAAGAGTTATCAAGGTAAAGAAGCAGGAAGGAGGACTCCTGAGGGGCCTCCTAGCTAGGACAGCAGGAAACTGATAGTATGGGAATGACAGAAATCATAATGCATCAGTGACCCGTGCCCAGGGTAAGTGGGCACACTGAGATGAGGGAGAGGCAGAGAGGAAGGTGGAGAGAAGTCAAGGCGGAGCCACAAAGGCCTCACACTTTACACTGAGGAACCCAAGGGCTATGGGAGTCTTTGAAGGATTTTAAATAGGCAAGGTGGTCCTCTCTACCTTCCAAACTTTGTATTTCCTGGATTTTTATTTTATGCGTAGGGGGGTTTTGCCTGCACTGTCTGTGCATCTCATGTATGCAATGCCTAAGGGGCCAGAAGAGGGTGTCAGATTCCCTGGTACTGGAATTACAGACAGTTGTGAGCAGCCATGTGGGTGCCAGAAATCAAAGCTAAGTCCTCTGGAAGTGTAGCTAGTACCCTTAACCACTGAACCATCTCTTCACCCTGTCCCGTCTGCCTTTTAAGATGATGACCAACCATCCTGGCTGCTTTATGATTTCGGAAAACTCAAGGATCCTGCAGCAGAAATAAGGAGGGTCTGAACTAAAAAGGCCAGTGGGGACAGGGAGATATTCATAGAATTCATATTTGTTTTTCTGACAGTTCTAGGGCTTGAACCCAGGGCCCCACACATGCTAGACAAGCACTTTAACATGGAGCTCTATCCCTAGCTGCTGAATTCAGGTTCTGAGGTTTTATTGGCTGTGGGAGATGGGGACAAGGGTGAGTCTCAGGTGATGCTAAAGTTGCTTATTGTGCAACTCAGTATGGGTGGTGAGCGCAGGGAGCCATGAGAGAGTGGGGATAAACCTGGGAGCTTGTTTGGGTGTGCTGCTTCGGAGGTTCCTGAGGTACATGTGTTGGTCTAACACGCTAGTGGCTATCTTGGTCATGGTCAGGGACTGAGATTTAAGAGCATCAGCAGAGATGATGATCCCTGATCTGCTGGTGTTGATACTCAGGAAGAATTCACAGAAAGGAGCTGTTCCTTTTCATGCTTGACCAAACCCAAGGATGACTGTTCCCCTGAACAATGACTCACTCATCTTTACATCCCCAACTGACTGAACTGCCCACAACAGGTAAAGAAAAAGGCTCATTCACAAATACAGTCAAAGTATGGGGTGTATACCTGGTAGTATGAAAGGCCGTCCCTATTCCAGGAAGAATCCTGGAGTTTTACAGCAACTCCCAAGCTAAGCTATCTTATAAAGGTATCTATCCAACTGATGAGTTTATCCTAAACTGAGATGACTAATTCAACAAAAGTCTTCTGAGTACATCCACGCATAGTGTGTGCGTGTATGTGTGTGTGTGTGTGTGTGTGTGTGTGTGTGTGTGTGTGTGTGCTAAAGACACAGCAGTGAATAAATCAGATGTGGGACCAGCCTTTGTGATACTATAGAAAGCAATTAAATGAATAATCATAGATTTTTAACAGAATTCACCGAAGGCCACTATTTCATGTGAAAGTTTAAAAAAATTATTACATTTCAAGAATTGTGTGTGTGTGTGTGTGTGTGTGTGTGTGTGTGTGTGTGTGTGTGTATTAAAGAGAGAGAGAGACAGAGACAGAGATGGAGGGAGGGAGGGAGGGAAAGAGGAAGGGAGGGAGAGAAGGAGAGAGGAAGAGGCATAGAGAGGAGATATATCTACACGCCACAGTGCATGTATAGAAGTCAGAGGACAACTTTTGGAAATCAGTTCTCTCCTTCTCCATCTAAGTCCTGGAGCTTGGACTGAACTCGGGTTGTAAGGGTTGGTGGTAAATGCTTTTACACACTGAGCCATCTCACCACCCCATATGTAACAGTTTTGATTTCTATCAAAACCCCCCATTGATAAATGTCTTACTCTCATAGGGCTCCTTATTTGCAAATATTGCCCAAAGCACAATGCCAAAACTGTACACGTCTGACTTCTCTGTAGGCTTTGCGTTGATGTCATTCAGGTGTTCGGGTGCCATGTAGGAGAGGGTACCCCCATTCCTCTTGGAGGTGCTGTTCACGTCCCTCTGCTTGTTGTGTTCCTCCTTAGTCAGTTTGCTCCAAGTCTTAAAGGAAGCCACACCAAGATCCGCTATCTGCAAAAGAGGTGGGGCCAACAGAATTCACTTCATGAAGGCTACAAGTAAATGAAGCTTGATATTTATGAAATCAAATTTGAGGACTATCCAGGACACGTGTGCCACAGTCAATTTTCCAGTGGTTGCACTGGGTCTATCTAGAATAATTACCTCTCAATAGACTCTCATACAAACTTGGAATGTTCACAGAAAATTCTGGCATCTAAATTATATTTTTTCCAAAGTTTTTTTTTTTAAACATTTATTTATTTATGGGGGAGCCACATATGCCAAGATGTGTGTGTAGAAGTCAGAGGACAACTTTCAGAAACCCCTTCTCTCTGTTCACCAAGCTTTGAACTCAGGTCTTCAGGCTCAGCAGCAAGTACCTTTATTAGCTAAGCCACCTTGCTGGGCCCTTCACATCTAATTCTTAAGCAATAAAAAGACTGGGGACAAGACAACAAAACTGTGTTTGTGCTAATTTCTCATTTACTTTGCATATTTTTTGTTTCTGTTTTGTTGGGGAAGATGGAGACTGGTTACCACACCTTCTACGTGCCCAGTAGCATCCAGAGGACCATGGCTGTGTTAACACCTTCTACGTGCCCAGTAGCATCCAGAGGACCATGGCTGTGTTAACACCTTCTACGTGCCCAGTAGCATCCAGAGGACCATGGCTGTGTTAACACCTTCTACGTGCCCAGTAGCATCCAGAGGACCATGGCTGTGTTAACACCTTCTATGTGCCCAGTAGCATCCAGAGGACCATGGCTGTGTTAACACCTTCTACGTGCCCAATAGCATCCAGAGGACCATGGCTGTGTTAACACCTTCTACGTGCCCAGTAGCATCCAGAGGACCATGGCTGTGTTAACACCTTCTACGTGCCCAGTAGCATCCAGAGGACCATGGCTGTGTTAACACCTTCTATGTGCCCAATAGCATCCAGAGGACCATGGCTGTGTTTCCAAGCATCTCAAAGCCACCCTGAGGGTGAGACCGTTGCTATTTGTTTTGAGTTGGCAGCCTGAACCTAAGAGAAAATAGGATGGGAAGAAAGAAATCGAAACACACGTAAAGGCAGAGAAAGACAATGAAGTTAGACACAGAGCAAACAAGGAAGTGGCAGGTTGAAATGGCAGAGCAAAAGAGTACCGGAAGAATCCAAGGGGAAGTTCCCCTTCTGTCTCTAAGAAGCATTTGGGGGGGAGCTAGAGCATGTGCTTACCTGCTATTCACAGGTTTTAACCCAGAACATAAGGGGTAAGTTATTAATTGAAAGAATGAACAGTCTTAAAAGACACTGGGACTAATAGCTGACTAAGACACGAACGGTGTCTGCTGTGGATCTTACAGGCAGGTCCTGGTTTTTCCCCAGTGCTACACGTTTTCAGGTTCTTTTTGTTTCTTGTTGGTGTGGCTCTGGGATTACACGCAGGACTCTGAACCTGAGCTATCTATTCCCATTTCAGGTCTCCAGCTCAGATTCTAGCTACCAAGATTAATTACATGTGCTGTTGTTTCCCTTAGCTAAATGTAGCCCTTGAAAGATGGATGTCCCTTTTCTTATGGTTTAACAAAAAGAGCTTGCAAAAGGAAATTGATTTTTAAAAAAAATAGAAATAAACAAGATGTCAAAGCAGAGGTCTTTGCTTTGGGGGGCCAGACTCAGCCCCAAACTTCAGATGTGTTAGACTAGCTGAACCACACCCCTAGCTACACAAAGTGGAAGATTCTGAGGCCAAAATGGCTATTGACTGCTGCTGTGACTCTTCAGCCATTTCGGAATTCTAAGAATATGCTCCACACACTTCCATACTCCCTTTATCTCCAGGATGGAGAAGTCTCAGTCATTAGATTTTCTGGGGAAAATGATGAGCAGACAGTCCCTTCCAGAATGAAGACAGTAACCCTTGATTGCTTCCATGTCCAAGTCTAACCAGAGGGAAACAAAACCCAGGAACCAGAGATGAGACTCTTTTACCACTGCATCCTTAGCTATCTCCCAAGCCGATCAAGCCACACCTGCCCTTTCATATCATGGCAGCCTTGCAGCAGCACCAGCCTGCTCAACGCTGAGCTAGGTCCTCCTGGATCATGATCACCTACAGGAATGGATTTCCAGTGGAAAATTCAAACTATAATTACTCAACCTTCTCAAAGTCTAGTTTGTGGATTACCTTGATGTGAAAATCACAGTCAACAAGGATATTTTCAGGCTTCAGGTCCTTGTGTATTACACCTCTGTCATGTAAGTAGCACATTCCTTCAATGGTCTCCACAATTATCCTTCCTTTTACAGAAAGCGGGACACTGATCTGAAACAACACATTAAGTCTATGAAATGGAGAAATAATCTAATAGGTAAGAGCAGCCACTCCATCCAAGATGGTGGGATGTGAGCCCAAGGTTTGTGTAAGCAGGTGTCTCCCATCAGGGGGTCTGCAGCACTGCTGTCCCTGGGAAACAAGCCCCTTTCAAGAAAGATTCCATTCCAGGGCTTACAGGGTACTAATGCTATATTTTATTCAGTGCAAAAAATAAAAAAAATTCTATGCCAATCTGGATGCAAATAAAAATACTGGGGTGCCTTGTCCAGCCTTAATAGAGGGAGGTGTCTAGTCTTATTGTAACTTGCTAAGCCAAATTTGGTTGATATCCTTGGGAGGTCTGCCCTCTTCTGGAGAGAAAGGGAGGAAAAGTGGATGGGGGAAGGGGGTTTGGTGGAAAGGAGGGAGCGGGGAAACGGAGGTTGGAATGTATAAAAAAAAAATAAAAAGACAAAGAAAAAGAAGTCATGAATTAGAGAGAAAGCAATTGAGGGGAGTGGGGGGAGGTACATGAGAGGTACTGAAGGGAGGAACGGGAAAGGGGAAAATGATGTAATTACATTTTAATTTTTAAAAATAAATAATTTATAAAAGAATATCCTGAGACCACCTGATGTTTTATCCACTCTATGATCCTTTATGTCTAGTACATTATGTAATAAAAACCTCATGTTTAAAAGAACATGAAATCAAGTTCCTTGCAAACAATGACATCTATTATTATTATTATTATTATTACTATTATTCTATTTCTACCACTACTACAAAGATAGCCTTTCAAATGATGTCTAGATTATCTGAAAGAACAGCAAAATCCACAAACATCTCCATGGCATATTCATGTGATATGACATTTTTACATTAAATATAATAATGCCAGGGAAACAGGAATGTGAAATGACACTAAGAGAAAACAAGTGTAAGGAAGTATGTTCACACCACTGACAGCTACATAAGCATCTCTGCCACATGCATGATTCTAAAACTGTGCTGGGGCCCATCAGTTGTTTGGGTTTTTTGTGACCTGGCAGCAGACACCTTAAATCTTTGTAGAAACTCAGGTCACTCTTATACTCTATTTATATCAACTTCAATGTCATTATTTAAAAAATGCATGTTTCTATTTTAGTGGTAAATTTCAGTTTTTCTCAATACAAGAACCAGCTTACAAAAGAATGATTCCTAAAAGTCAATGTGTGTTTGTTACTGGTTCACAGGAAAAAGTCAAGGTGATGGAACTTAGATTTTCAAGTCATACCAAATCACAGTCTTCACACCATCTGTGGTGGTTTGAATAGGTATGGACCCCATAGACTCATGTGCTTGAATGGATGGCCCATAGGGACTGATGTTATTAGGAGGTGTGGCCTTTTGGAGGAAGTGTGTCACTGTGGAGGCAGGCTTTGAGGTCTCATATGCTCAAGCTACGCCCACTGTGCCTGCAGATCAAGATGTAGAGCTCTCAGCTCCTTCTCCAGAACCATGTCTGCCTGCATGCTGTCAGGTTTCCCACCATGACAATTATGGACTAAACCTCTGTAAGCCACCCACAATTAAATGTTTTCTTTTATAACAGTTGCTGTGGTCATGGTGTTTCTTCACAGCAATAGAAACTCAAACTAAGACACCATCTTTATCCACATCATGCTGTAACTGAACCACAGCATCAAGAGCTTGACCACCACAATATAAAAGACAGCAGAAGGCTGGGTGTGGTGGAATACACCTATAGTCTGATACTGAGGAGGCTGAGGCAAAATGATCACTTCAGCCTGAAAGTTTGAGAGCAGCATTGCTATCGACCTTGTTTACAAAAATTAATTGATTAACTAAAAATTGCAGCAGAGATCTTTTCCTCTCTTCATTGGCATACTTTCAGGAAACCCTTGTTAGCAAGTATAATTGTCCCCCAACCCAACCTCTTCTTGCTTCTCTAGGTCCTAGACTTTTCCTGGGGCCTATCCTGTGAAGATTCTCATTGGCTGAGCCCACAGAATGTCTTCCATCATAAATGATGTATCACTGGATCAAAATGCCTATTTCTGTCACATGGCTGATCTTACCTGGGTTGGAGGAAGAGAACCATCTGGTCAAACTACAATGCCATATGTATCATCTTTTACCCTTCCCACGGGTGTTCATATTTCTGAGTGATCTGATTTGGTAGTTGTAAGGTGTAGGGAGATGGAAAGAGGGGGAATATTTGCTACAAAGGCAGCCAAATGCTTCAGCCCCTTACATGCAATCTGTGTGCTGGCCAAAGCTAGTGACTGGCAGTTCCACAAACTGGCATCATCTAACTCCTTCACACATGGCATTCTCTGTGCCTGGAATGCTTCCTCTCTAGTTGTCTGCTTCAACTTGTCCTTTCCTACCTAGCTCGGGTTGGGGTGGGCTCCTTGCCTAAGTTCCACAGCAGGTGACTATATGCCTATCAAACACCATCACATCATCTGCTCCCTTGCCTTGTCCACCTCTTGCACTTGCCTGTGTTGTATCAGCTATGGGCTCCTGGAGAACTAGCACAAGACTCAGCTCCTAACAGGTACAGAAACTTTAAAAACTTACCTAGTTTTCATGAGTTCCGTTCTTTCCTGTTCTTAAATTTTACATTGCTGTGGTTTATATTCTAGATTTAACCTATAGTAACTTCTTAAATGGTCTAAAAGTACAGTCACTAACATTCTACTTTTTCTTATAGTCAACAACAGTGTACACACTTTTCTTAATCACTATCTATCTTTTTTACAATATACAAATTTTCATCAATCAACCCAAATTTATTATCACTTACGCTGACGACATGTAAGAAGATGATTCTTCGGCAAAGGACAGGGCTATCTGTCAACTGTGGATTAGAGAGAGGCTGGGAGGTACAGTAAAGAGCGACCTTGCAGTGGAGACAGAGAATTACCAGGGGGCTTGAGGGGTGCGGGAGAAGACAACCTCCAAGGAAGGGAGAGGCACAGATGTAAGAGGGACTAACTTTACAAAGTCCAAACTAAACTAGATGTGGTGGCGCACACCTTTAATCCTAGCATTTGGGCAGGGGGATCTCTGTAAGTTCAAGGCCAGCCTAGTCTATATATTGAGTTCCACAACAGCCAGAGTACTTAACAGAGAGACCCTGTCTCAAAACAACAATCACAAACCCCCAACAAACAAACAAATAAAACAAAAAAGAAAAAGGGAGTCCAAATCACGGAACAAAATTCCCAACCAGAAAGCTACAAAGGAACCCCCAAGAGCAGCCAGATCTGACTGTTAGCACAGACTGCTGTAAGTGCCACTGACCTCGGCCTTCAGCACATGCATCAGGTTGCCCTTCTCCATGAACTCCATCACCAGCGAGTAATTCCCTTCTTCTAAGATGATGCCCAGCAGTTTCACCACTCGACTGTGTCTCAGTCTGTGCATCATCTTCCCCTCTTCCAAGAGAGCCTCATTGTAACTGTGGGCATGAAAGGCGATATGCTGAGCAGGGTGGGGCCAAACCTTCTACCCAGGTTCCTAAGAAGCCCCACTGTCCCTGCCGTGTGTCAGACTGCAGACGACTGTCACAGTCAGGTCTGAGAAAGCAGAGGCTTTTTCTCACCTATATGCCCGCTCCAGCCCTGTCTTAGGAACTGGTAGTTGGATGCTCACAACACTCAAATCAATTAATAAAAAGTGCAGCACAGACCTGGCCTGAAGAATACAACAAAAAAGGCACAATTCTCAAAGCTAGTCTGAGGAGGGGAGAAGCCCTCCACTGACTGCCTTTTTTTTTTTTTTTTTTTTTGGTTTTTCGAGACAGGGTTTCTCTGTGTAGCTTTGCGCCTTTCCTGGAACTCACTCGGTAGCCCAGGCTGGCCTCGAACTCACAGAGATCTGCCTGGCTCTGCCTCCCGAGTGCTGGGATTAAAGTCGTGCGCCACCACCGCCCGGCTCACTGACTGCCTTTTACAAGGTGGCTAGGACTTTTTAGGATGGTACTGTCCTTTGTTTTGTATTTCAGGCTAGGTGTTTTCACCCATGGCCCTGTTTTCTGCCTCCCTTGTTACCCAGGTTTCTGCTTTAGTGATGTCTTTCCCATACATTTCTCAAGCACTAATATCTTTTCACTAACCCCAAAGTCCTCACCCAAAACAACAGTAAGAGTTATGGTCACCCCTCACATGGCCAGTGTGTCAAGTCTCCCAGCAGATGAGCCTCATTTAAAACTCCATGTGCTTAGCCGCATAGGTGGCGACAACTACTTTCTGTAGGCAGCTAGGTAGGGCCTACCCATCTCTGTTCCCGACTCACTCAGCACGGTTGGGCCCTGTGTACACCTTTTTCAGGATGACAAATCCATGACTTTTGTGGAAACACAAGGACACCTTTCCAAAGCCTCCACTGTCGAGATCTTTTCTCTCCAGCAGGTCACTGGATGCCATCTTGATGTTGTCCAAGGACATGTCTGGTTGCATTTTGAATGCTCAACACAGCACTACTGGTTCTTGCTTAGTGCTGTGTCCTATAAATAAAACAGAGAGCTGTCTTAGGGCATGATTTTAAAAGACCACTATTTAAAAAACAAAAACAAAACAAAACAAAAAAATACCACATGTTGCCAGATATGGTGGCACATGCCTGGAATCCCATTACCTAGGAGGCTGAGTCAGGAGGATTAAAGGTCTGAGGCTAGCTTGTACTCCATAGTGAGTTCAAGACCAGCTTGAACAATATAGTGAGTCCTGTCTCAGAAAACAAAAAGCCCACAAAGGTAGCACATACGTGGTGTGCCTTTGTTTTTATTGAGAATAAGTGTAATCTGTAATATGAGCTGCTCAGCTAAGAGTTACAGATGACTGTGACTTTTATTCCAGTGGACCTTTCATTTCTGGCAACATGGAACACTAGAAAAATTTTAAAACATTCTGCCACAAAGAGCTATGCATGTTAGGTAACATAATTCGAGCATCCACTGAAATTCAGAGTTTAGTATATAGTAGAAAAGGCAAATTTCCAGGAAATTGAGCAGACTCAACACTGGACAAGGAGTAATGCCTCCCATGATGGCAACTGTACCAGCGTGGCCCTAGGTTAGGAACGGGGTAGTATTCAATGTAAGAGGGCTGGAATGAGGCCTCCCTGTCACTGGGACCTCCTCGGCATACAACTTCTCAGTGGAGAGATGGACTGGAAAAAATAAAAAGCATGAATACATGTGTCTAGGACCAGGAATGAGATGTTTAAAAAGATTCTCTGTGAATTCATAACCTTGAGCCACCTCCAAATAAGTTTGGGCTTTGATTTCAGAGGATCCTGGCCATTCTCCTTAGAGCAGGATTCTCCAAACTAAGAATGTTTATGTACAAAGAGGTCATCGTCTGACGACATCCTCAGATTATAAGGTTAAAGCCAAAAAAAAAAAAAAAAAAAAAACTTCAAGGCAGGCCAGACAGAATCTGTCCTCTCCCATGTTCACTTACATAAACTCCCTTTCCAAAAGTATAAATAACAAAAATTCCCTATGAGCTAGACCCTGCGTATATAACAGGCGGCAGTACTAAGCACATGGGTGAGAACCTCAGGTAACTAGTCTATTAAGTAATATTAGGAAATAAATACGTCCCAAGTAATTATGAGCAAAATTAGGGACTGGAAGACAATTAAAGAGAATAACACACTCTGAATAGGAAGATGTGAAAAAGAACGAGGACTTAAGAGACCTGCCCATCTCTGCTGAGCGGCATTCCGTGTTTCTCAGAACGAGGACTTAAGAGACCTGCCCATCTCTGCTGAGCGGCATTCCGTGTTTCTCAGAACGAGGACTTAAGAGACCTGCCCATCTCTGCTGAGCGGCATTCCGTGTTTCTCAGAACGAGGACTTAAGAGACCTGCCCATCTCTGCTGAGCGGCATTCCGTGTTTCTCAGAATGAGGACTTAAAGGAGAGTGCTTTGGAGGGGAGGCATGGGGCCGCAGTGCCAGGATGAGTGCGGCAGCTTCGCTGGGCTCAACATCTTCCTGACCACCCCCTCATACAATTGTAATGACCAGCCCCGTTACAAACAATGGCTATTCAACACAAGCAAACTTGATTCCCCCTCTGAATGCTGGGAAAAGAAGACAGAAAACTCCAAAATAAGGAAGGTAAAATAGAAAGAGACAGTACGTAGTTTATGGGTTACAGTACATTCTTAATGAGTACTTAAAAGGTGAAATAGTGACCAAAGAGAAAATCCAGGAGGCCTAAGAAGTGTACAAAGAATATATCCAAGGTGACATCTTTAATAAGAAGGAGTGGAACTATGATGGTCATCTCCCATGGAAGAAAGGCTCTTCCCAAGGGCTCTGTCATTCCTGAGGAAACTTTCTGTTCAGAGTGGAAAACACAGCCCAAAGTGAGTGCTTCCCTCTGGGTGAAGACCTAAGACATTCAATGGTATTAAGAAGTACAGAGGAGTTCTCGTAACACTGTGTTAACAGTTTTTAATATTTTAGGTGAGAAATCTTTATCTTGAAGTTATTCAAGGAACAGATAATATCTTACAAGCATGGGCTGCCTGTGATCTTGTCTAGTGGCCTGCAGCAGAACGCTTGAGTAAGCGAATCTCCTACACTGTACAGAGGCTCCCTAGAGGACACCAGTATTCCAGTGCAACTGATATCAGACGGACATGACAAATGATCTTCTCCATGTCTCAGGCATTGCCAAGCAAGAAGGGCAGAGGCAAGGAGAGGAGCCTGCCCAGAGGAAGGCATGAAGGCAGATGAGGAGCGAGGAGGCGCTGGAGGCTTGCTAGCAGAAGCCATTCATGTGCCTTGTGACTTTAAGGAACTTACTTAGTCTCAATTTCCTCATCTGTGAAAGGAAATGACAGCTCATCTTGGAAGTGGCAAGGAATTATGAAAAAATAACACATGAAAATACATTTGCCTGCTTAATGGCTATGGCTACAGTTAGCCCTGCTGTTTATGTTTATCAACGCCGTGACTCTAAGAACCCCACTGTGTCACTGGGCCTGGGTACACAGGTACATTTCCAAGTGTACAAAAAGCACTTCCAACATGATGTTTTTAATGAGAAGGGGTGGAACTACAATGGCCATCTCCCATCGAAGTAAAGGCCGGTTCTGAGGGCTCTGCTATCCCCAAGGAAACGTTCTCTTCAAGTGAAAACCAGCCCTAGAGTGCTACTGGCTTACATGTTGAATTAAGACTGATACATTGAATTGAGACTATCCAGCAAGTCCCTACTGACGATCTATGAGAATGAAAATGGGATAGTGTGAAGACAGAAGGGGTAAACGTTATGTTCCAGGCCTGACTCTTCATTTCCTATAGATGCTCTAGAGTGCTACTGGCTTACATGTTGAATTAAGACTGATACATTGAATTGAGACTACCCAGCAAGTCCCTACTGACGATCTATGAGAATGAAAATGGGATAGTGTGAAGACAGAAGGGGTAAACGTTATGTTCCAGGCCTGACTCTTCATTTCCTATAGATGCTCTAGAACATTCGGACCTGCCTAGTCTCCCCAGCTCACGATATGTCCCTTTCCCCAGCCACAGTATTTTAAATCCTAGTCAGGAAGCCTAGAAGTTGCTGGTCTGCCAGGTGTCCATGCACTTTCATTTCCTGGGGGACCCATCTTAAGACTTCCTGTTTTGAGATATTTACAGAGTTGGACTTCTCTCCTCAAACAGTTATTTTAAAATGGTTTCTAATGAAGTTTACGGAGGCAAAAAACCAAAACCAAAAAACCTGTTTGGCCACTGTCCCCAGTGCCTAGCAGAACCAAATGTGGTAAACAATTGTTAAGTAGCTAAAAAAAATTTACAGAACTATTTAGTTGTTAAAGAATAAAGGATATAGTTAAACAGATTTTAAAGCATTTATAAAATAGATTATATGGTAATTTAATAGAGAAAAAGGCACAGGGAAAGACACCAAAATATTCACCACCAAAATATTCACCAGCATTTTATTTACACTGTAGGGAAATGTTTACTTTCTTCTCTATACTTTTAAGTCAGGGTCTTGCTGTGTGCCTGGGCTGGCTTGAGATTTGTGATCCTCTTGCCTCAGCTTCTGGAGTGCTGGGATTGCAGCTGTAGCTCACCATGCCTGGCTCATCTTTATATATATATATTTTTAAATTACATTTTCTATAATATCAAGGATTGCAAAAACACTGAATGTAAGGTAGAAAGCCAGATAATCACAACAGGCATGTTGACCTGTGATTGCAAGTCATAGCTAATTTCAGCTAATATCATGTCCTTTTGAATGGGGTTTGCTAACGCTTTGGGATAAATGATTATCAATGCACAACCACAGAGAAGTGAAAACTTCCCACTGAAACGAATCAGAAATTCCAAGAAATTTCAAAATTAACCTTGGTAAAATAGGTCTACATTATATATACATATAATACTGTTTTGAGTTCAAGCTTACTTAGTGAGTTCCAGGCCAGACAGGACTACACAGTGAGATCCTGTCTCAGGAAGTGTGTGTGTGTGTGTGTGTGTGTGTGTGTGTGTGTGTGTGTGTACAAACACATGCCCCCTGTAATAGCTGGACTCATTTAAACCCAATTAATTTTCTCTTAATTTTTCAATGACAATCATATATGATAAGAGCAGGGGGACAGAGAATGAGAGAATGTCACTTGCTTATTGTGGCCCACTTCTTCCCTAATGGAATTCTGATTTTACTCAGGTATGTGACATAATCAAAAGCCATCTCCAAGGTTCTTTAATTAATACAGCCTGTGCTTTGCCTCCAAACAGGGCAATGAACAAGGAATCAAGTCACCAACCAAAGATAAAATTGGAATAAAATTTACTGAAACATGATCAAATACATTAGCACATTGTGACCTGTGAATTAATCTTATCAGGACTATTTTCAATTTACAAATAAAGAAACTAAAAGTTGAGGTTAATCGCTTCACCTGCAATGAACAGATTCAAGCTTCATCCCTTCTCTCAGACTTCCACTCTCAGTTCTCTAATACATGCTACTTTTCTAGAAAGGAAAATAATAATTTATCTTTTGAAAACTCCAGATGCTGATAAAACCCCAGATGCAAAGACCAAATGCCTTTAATACAGGCACCAAGGAGGCAGAGGCAGGTAGAGTTCTGGGAATTCAAAGCCAGCCTGGTCTTCTACATAATTAGCTTCAGGACAGTAAGAGCTACATAAAGAGACTCTGTCTCAGCCAGGCGTGGTGGCACACACCTTTAATCCCAGAACTCAGGAGGCAGAGGCAGGCATATCTCTTGAGTCTAAGGCCAGCCTGGTCTACAGAGTGAGTACCAGGACAGCCAGGGCTACACAGAGAAACCCAGTCTTAAAAAACAAACAAACAAACAAACAAACAAACAAACAAGATCAGTATTATCAATGTCTTTATAGTAAGAGACATCTGCCAGAATAATAAACAACCAAAATGTGGGAAGCTGTACTTCTGATTCAATTCCCAGATTCTATTGGTGATATTAACATGTCATAGATTAATACATAGCAGTACCATGCCCAGTTTGTAAGTTGTTACCTTAGGCATATTTCTTAATACAATTCTGAAGGCTTAACATTACATATGAGGCTCAAAATAGGAAAGAGAGAAAAATGAAAATTAAACTTGGTAATTGTTACTGTTGTTTTTCAGTAATACAAACAAATTTCATTTTGAACAGGGCTAGTTCTCATTTTCTGTATACAGGAGAGCCTTAGTAGTGTCTTCCCAGTGGCTACAAAATTACATGACTAAGTCATTACATCTCAAAGTTGACGCTGCCATTGAGCTTTCATGTGTTAAGAAAGAATAGCGTTCTAAAGATTAATGGAGTTTTGTGGAATTTATTGATTAAAACAGCGTCACTCTTCGCCACATATAAATGAGCAAGGAAATCAAATGACCTGCAAGAGACAAAGAATGAGTTACCCTGGACCGAACCATGCATCCTCAGGAGGCTCTCTCTATTCAACGCTTAGGTGAAGAGGATGTGGCTTATCTTCTTCATAACCCAGAGAGGGTCTGCAGCAATCCATAAAAGCAAATGCTACTGAGGACCAGAGAAGCCTTGGATGTTTGCCACTGTTCTCTCGCTGAGGTCGTGGATCACGCCTCAATTGCCAGATCACCTCTGAGATAATGATGAAAGCTACTGATTGCTCTGCAACCTCCTGCTGCCCCAAGTACAACAGAAATAACCCTTTGAAGCGTTGGTAGGTCCAGGAATATTTACGTCACCTTGTTAGAGCACTAACACGTCAATAACCCATCACCTCTACCAAAAGAATAGTAAGAGAGAAACACCTGTCCTACAGTCACACCATAACCGTGGCTACGGCGCTGATGTCACTTTCCGTCGCGACCTGAGCTAAAACCAGCTCAGAAAGGCTCCAACCTCCCGCTAGAAGACTGACAGCAAGTGCCGCGCTTTTCGACTTCCGGGTTCGCTGGCGGCCCCGCCCACTACCGGGCTTCCGGAAACGAGGCCCGCCCTCTGGCCCACGCGCTAGAAATCGCGCGGCCCCCGCCCCTTCCGGGAAGCAAGCCGCTGAGGAAAACTAGCGGCGGACCCGGCGGCGGCCTCCGCGCTGACTTACCTCGGAGTTACTTTCCTTTTCCGCAGCCGAGTGCCCCGGCCCAGGTGAGGAAGGACGGGCGGTGGGTCTCAGGAGCGGCGCCTCGCCGTGGCTGCCCGGCCAGGACGGCTCCTGGGCCCTGACGAGGACGCGACCGAGCTCGGCGCCCAAGTGGCGCCAGGCTCGCCGCCGCGGAACACCGCGCTCCTCCGAGGGCCCGCGCGGCCGCTCGACACCCGGGAGGTGAGCGGCACCGACACCCGCCTTCCCGAGGCCGCTCCGGGGGCCGCTCGTCCTCCTCTACCGAGCTCCGCCGGGTGGGGCGGCGCTCGGCTGCTTCCGCCTCTGTCTCCGCCTCTGCTCACGCCCCGGGGCGGTGAGCGCGCCCCGGTGCCAGCCTCCCAGCTGGGCCCTGAGCTCCGCCTGGCACGCCGCGTTCGTTCGCACGCCGATCCCGGAGGCCTGCCCGCGGAAAGAATCGCAGTTGTGCCTTGCTTTCCAGCTGGTTCCGAGAGAGCCCTTAAAAAGAGGGGATCCTAGCTGCTCGGTCAGGGCGGAGTCAGCTTGGTCCGCTGGAAAACCCCGTGTGCGACCCTGGCGATGGAGAACCGGCCAATAAATTATCGTTCATCCGCCGCGGCGGGCTGTCGAGGAAGACGAGATTATTTTGTAGGCCTCTAGAATGGTAATTGTGAAATCTCAAGCAAAAAAAAAAATAAGTGTTACTAACAGGTGTCATTAAGAAGTTGCACGATAATACACGATCACTTATTGTCAAAAGATAGTCGAGACGGAGAACATACGCACAACCATCACCTTAAGAAAATTCACAGCCCTTTTAACAGATACCTCACCATGCAGATAAGCATTAAAAAGATGCTTAATGCCATAGGACATTATGGGAAACTCAACTTTGATGTAGAGTACTCAAAATGGCCAAATCCCCAACATTCACAAATGTAAGGAATGCAAAACGTTACTTTTATGGTTCCTGTATGACTTAGCAGTTTCACACACTGTTATGTACCCAAGTGAACATAAATCTAATGTACAAACACATGTACCAAAGTTGGTTTTTGTTGTTGTTTATTGGGGGTTGTGTCTGTGCAAAACTGCACATATGTGAAGGCCAGAAGTCCACCTCCAGTATCTCCCTCTCACTATGCTACCCCCACTTTTAACAGACAAGGCCTCACTTTACCTTTCGCTTGTGGAGTAGGCTAAGTTGGATGGCTAGTCAGCCTCAAGAACCTGCCGGTCTTTGCATCTCTGGCATTGGCATCACCATGGCCAGGTTTTTTACACGGGTTCTGGGAATTGAATTCAGGTCCATTTTGTTTGCATGCTTGTTGAAGGAACCCTGAGCTGTATTCCCCAGGTCCCTGTACCCAAGTTGTGTTTCGGGTTTTTCTTTAAGATTTTTGTTGTTGTTGTTATTTTTGAGTGAGTATACATGAGTGCAAATTCCCCAGGAGGCCACAGAAAGGCATCAGGTCTCCTGGAGCTGGAGTTACAGGTGAGCTGTCTAATGTGGGCCTGGGAACTTAACAGGTCCTCTATAAGAGCAGTATGTGCTTTTAACAGCTGACTCTTATCTCCAGTCCCTCTCTCTGAATTAATTTTTAAGGGTTTATTTTATATGTATGAGTGTTTTGATTGCATGCTTGTGCACTGCTTTTATGCCTGGTATCCATAGAGGTCAGAGGAGGGCATCGGATTTCCTGGAACTGGAGTTATGGATGGCTGTGAGCCACCATGTGACTGCCGAGACTGAAACTCAAGTCCTCTGCAAGAACAGCCACTGACCCATCTCTCCCAGCCCTGTGTCTGAATTTTTGCAGCATCTTTGCATAATTTCCAAAACTTAAAGCAAATGAGTTCCTTTTCAATAGCTATAGTAAATAGAATACTACTTGGCACTAGAATGAATTTTAGAATTAAAGAATTCGGTGTGTTTTTTGTATATTTCTAAGTAAGAGAATTCAATCTTAAAAAAAAACACACAATATGATTTCAAAAATGACATCCTCAATGAGGGAAAAATATGGAGATTCTACAAGGCCAGTGGTTGCCAAGAGTTTACGGGGAAGAGGGATATATAAGTAAAGCGCAGGGAATTTTTTCTTTTTACAGACTGAAACTATTTCATCTGACTACATGGATACCTGTCATGGCATGCACTGGTCTGGGTACTCCAGAGAGGCAGAACCAAAAAGATAGATAAGAATAGTTTTTTTTTTTTCTTAAGGGGAACCAGACTGTGAAATTATAGAGACTGAAAAGGCTTGTGTGGGTCTATAAGCTGAAGACCTCATGTTGTTGGTAGTGGTTCTTTCTTAAACTCAGAATTAGGGAAGCTGATGATGTGCCTTTGTGGTGTATTGTTAGATTTTATTACTGTTAGCATCTTACTAGACCTAACTTAACAAATTATAAGTTAACTTGAGAGAAGAGGGGAGGGAGGGAGGGAGGGAGGGAGGGAGAGAGAGAGAGAGAGAGAGAGAGAGAGAGAGAGAGAGAGAGAGAGAGAGAGAGAGGAGAGAGAGAATAGTTCTGTACTACCTGAGGTATCAAGCATTAACTAGGCTACTTGAAATGCATATCACATGAATAAGGTATATCGATAATCCCTATTTTCTCCTTTTTTGCTTTGTCTTTCTAGGAATTTATCAAAGTTGCTGATCTCTTAAATAAAAGTTAGGATTTTGTTTTCTATTTTCAGGTTCATTGACTTCTACTATCTTTATTATTTCCTTCTGTTTGTAGTGGCCTTGTCCTTTTCTTTATTTGTTAGTGTTGAATTATAGTTTATTGTTTTAAGACTTCCTTTTCTAATAAAAACATTTTAATGATGTAACTTTTTAGTCTTCCTTTACCTACATCTCAGTTGTTTTCATATATTTTATTTTTACTTTTACTCAATTAAAATAGTGTCAAGTCTTATTTTTGACCCGTATTTCATTGGTAAGTATGTTATTTTCCTAGTATGTAGTGATTTTTTTTCTTTTGAGACAGGGTCTTACTATGTAGATTTGGGTGGCCTTGAACTCAGGGATTCACCTGCCTCTGCCTTCTGGGTTCTAGGATTAAAGGTATGCACCACCAACCATCCAGGCTTCCATTATCTTTTTTATTGGTTTCTAGTTTAGTTTTGTATTAAAGTAGAACATATTTTGTGTAATTACAATTCTAGATGGCTACAATCCACGGTGAATGTTCCACGTGTCCCTGGACATTCTGTACATTCTGTTTTGCTGGGAAGAGTATTCCATAAGTGTCAATTGGATCCACTTGGCTCATGATATTACTGTTTTTCTGCCTATTACTGATGAGGAATCTGTAGTCAATCTGAGTTGCTGCTCTCTTTTGGACTACATGGAATGGAAGATATTTCAAGAGTTGGTCTTTAATTTTTAGGCTTTTTAAAAAAGATTTATTTTATGTGTATGAGTGTTTTGCCTGTGTGTATGTAAGTACACCACATGCATGCACTTATCACAGAGTCCAGAAGAGGGTATTGGGTCCCCTGAACTGTAATTACAGATAGTTGTGAGCTGCCTTGTGGGTTCAGGGAACCAAATCCTGGTCCTCTGCTGGAGCATCAAGTTCTCTTCACTCCTGACCCATGTTTCCAGCCCTGTCTTTAGATTTTGCTAGCTTTATCATGATAGATTTTTGGAGTGTAGATTGTCAGTTGTATTATGATAATTGTGTTTTTCAGTTTTCAAACTTGTGCTTCTTTTTTATAGCCTCCATTCCTTTACTGGGGCTTTCCACTTTTCCATTGTTTGATAACCTGTTTGTGACTCACCGTTGAAAAGTTTTTTTGTTTTGTTTTGTTTTTGTTTGAGGAGCTAAACAACATAACTTCATTGTCTCACAGTTCTAGATGCTAGAAGTCTGAAATCAAGATGTCACAGGGTTAGTTCCTTTTAGAGTTTCTGATTATCTCAGTTTATGGTGACTTTGGGCAGTCCTTGATGTTGCTTGCCTTTCAGCTATATCATTTCATTTCTTTTGATTCTTCCTCAAATGACCTTTTCTTCTGGATCTCCCCTGTTTCTCAAATCCTCTTCTATATCCTTGTAGAATGACATAAGTCATTGAATTTAGGGTCACCATAAGTACAGGATAGTCTCTCAAGATCCTTATACTCCTCTAAAGATTCTCTTTCCATTGTAGTCAGTTTCTCAGTTATTGGTGGTTAGAACATATGGATATCTTTTTTTTTAATTTTTATTTTGCAATACAATTCAGTTTGGATATCTTTTTGATAGGACACAATTCAATCCACTACTAAGTATGCATTACTTAGAATTTGCCAATTTTAAGTGTTTGGTTTTGAAAAATAGACGTAGTAGCATATCTGCCACTGTAATGATTCAGAAAACCTCTCAACAGCCTTAGGAAGTTCTCCACAATTTTATGGTCTCTCTTTTCACCGCAGTCCCTGGTTACCAAAGATCTTTCTATAATGCCCAATAAGTGAAATATAAATACATATACAATGTTCCATCCTTTGTGTTTGGCTTCTTTGACTTAGCAGAGTGCTCCTAAGAGTCACCCACGTTAAATGTATTAGTGGAATTAATAGGTTTGAAAATGTTTGAACAAACTTAAACATAAGTTTCAGAAATAGTACAGTGATTACCCTGCTCTTCAGCTCACAGTTGTGAACATTTTGCAATGCTTGTGTTGTCTTTATCTTACGCTTCATCTTCACACATTTTGCTAAGCCATTGCCTAAATCACATCTTGCAAGGACAAGGATCTTCTATTGTAGCACGTTTATAACTGCTACAATGAATGTACTGTAAAGTTTTTGTTTTAAAGTCTGTCATATGAGTATTCTCTTCTGTACAAATATCAGAAAAAAAGAGCCAAAACTACTGTTCAGAGATAAGTAATGACTACTTAATATCTGGGTTAGCATCTTTGACTTTTTTCTTCCCATGCAAGTTGATACTGACTGGTACTTTGAATGCCAAATGATTTTGGATTGCATTATTTATATTTTGGCTGTTATGTAAGGCTGGATGCTAATTAGCACCTATGAGGAATGCTGTTAGTTTTGTTTTATCCAGATACCAACTCATATGATGAGTGTCAGGCCACAAGTTACATTATGCACATATACAGTTTGAACTTTGTTCCATGTGCATATTAAGTGGCCCAAATACTACTCTTTTTTTTTTTTTTTTTTTTTTTGTAGTTTAGTTCTCACTATCTTTGGCATGCTGATTAAGGTCAGATCCACACATGTGAAGCTCTGAAATGATCCTAGTTATCTATATAAACTTAATAGCGCTGCCTTCTTCTGCTTATTTTTCTTCCTCCTGCTGGTCTACCCAGTACTTTCTGCTTCTAGGAGACTTCTATTTCCAGTCTTCATGCAGAAAGCTGGGGCTTTTGCTGCCTACTGCCACTTCCACAAATTCACCCTGTCTGGAGCCAGGATATAGGAAGGAAGAGGAAAGCGGGAAGATTTGGCTCAAGCTCTTGTCAAATTGAAAAGTTTTAATGTCTTCAAGGTTTCAGTTTTTGTGGGCTCTATTTTTTGTGACTATGGGATTTCTGTAAAACCAAACAAAGCTTCATATTCAGATGCTTTTACTGGTGTCTTAGGGTTTCTATACCATGACCACAGCAACTCTTATGAGGAAACATTTAATTGGGGCTGGCTTA